TCCAAATAGTTCATAATAGGACGACACAGCATGCTGGTCTGCTAAAAAAGATATAATCTTTTTTGTAAATTTGTACATACAGATCCATAGAATGATTGTCATACTAGCTACATAGTTCTTGACCTTATGAAAGTTTGAGAGGAAGAGTTCAGCTTTCTAGTGCACTTAAAATCGAGTGTTTTGAGGCAGATTTGACAAAGTTATAGGTGTTTTCAGAAATCAAAAGTTTCTCTAAACACTAATGAGCCAAATTTCAGTGCTTGTTACAGGTTGTAATTGGATGATTATGAAGGTTTATTGTTAGTACACTTATCAATACGGACTGTAAAAATATGGAAGAATATGGAGAGTGAAGCTCTCACCGCAGGGAACAAGATGCATATTTTTATTTATTTTTTGCCCTTCTCCTGGCCTCTCAATATTTTTGTGTATCAATAATTTAATTTTCTGCCCAGAAAATATTATATTTTGTGTAGTGTTAATATCCATCACCTCTCTCTATGAGACTGGATACAAAATCGTCGACCCATACTACGGTACCAATGTTTCTGATAAGAACATGTATTTTGCGAAAGACGACCACATCATCCCTGCGTTCAAAGACGATGGCCCTGGAGGTTTCTGGCGTTTCTACCATCACTCCGAACCACGTGTGTACTCAACTACTTCTTCTCCGGAATCTAATCCTAACATTTGGCATCTACGATTTGGACATCTCAATCATAGGAGTACCTGAAATATCATGGAGGATGTTGTTCGACTTAATCCAAATATACCAACAAACTGTGAGGCCTGCACCCTGGGGAAACAAACGCGCCGCAGCCATTCTGGTAACCTACCACGCTCTAAAGTGCCTATGTACCGCATACATTGTGACCTGGCTGGCCCGTTCCCTGCTCAAAGTGTTGGTGGATTCTTGTACACAATGGTTTTGATTGATGATGCTACTCGAAAGAATTGGATAATTTTGTTGAAATCTAAATCACATGCCTTTGATGCGTTCAAACAATTCCACAAGATGATGTCAAATCAAACTAAATTTCCTATTGCTGTCTTCAAAACCGACCGTGGTGGCGAGTTCCTGAGTTCTGAATTTTCGAATTATCTGAGTGATCATGGAATTGTTCGTGAGATGGGACCACCTGAGACTCCGCAACAGAACTCAGTAGTTGAGAGGTTCAACCGAACCGCCTCTGAAAGACTTTGTGCCCAACTTTTCCATGGAAACTTACCTGTCCGATTATGGGGTGAAGTAATGTTGGCAACCTCGTTTATTCTTAATTTATGTCCATCCAAGTCGATTGAATATCTCTGTCCTGAAGAGGCATGGCAAAAGCTTGCTCTAAAAATCATCAAACCAAAAATCCCTTATCACCGCCTTCGTCCGATAGGTTGTCTGGCCTACACTATTCCCCCTGGCCATCGTGACAAACTAACGGCCAGGTCTATCAAAGCTATCATGATCGGCTATGAAAAGAACTCTGATGCATACCGACTGTGGGATCCCAAAGAAAACCGTGTTATGGTATCGAATGATGTTACATTTGAGGAGACCCGCTTCCCGCTTGCTGATATGTCCAACTCTGACACCGAAGAGCTCGCGGTGCTTAAAGACAATACATGGGATGAAATGTGGGACTGTACGACTAGACCAGCTTCTGAAACTATACCTGCTCCAAAGCCGTTTGTGCGCCCGCCCCGTCCTCAACGAAACGTACAACCAATTGACCGGCTGGGTGATTTCATTGGATACCACACTGTTGCTGAAGTGAATAAACCTGCCATAGACTCAATCGATGATGGACCAGAGAATGACAAACCTTCCTACTCTCAGGCCATGAAAAGTCCGAACCGTGCGGCATGGCTTGAGGCAATGTCTTGTGAATTTACATCTCTACAATTGCACGAAGTTGGAACCCTAATCGAACCACCTGAGGAGGCTAACGTATTGCCTGGAATGTGGCGGCTGAAACGTAAACGTGATGAATTCCAACGTATCACTGTCTATAAAGCACGTTGGGTAGCAGGTGGAAATCACCAGGTTAAGGGTGTTGATTTCGACTCAACATGGGCATCAGTGGGTATGACTGACACGCTTTGTACTTTGTATCAATGGCTGCTGTTGAAGACCTTGAAATGGAGTCCTTTGACATCGAAACTGCATTTTTAAATGGCAAGCCGAAGCATAGAATCTATGTCAGACAGGTCACTGGATTTCGCGATTTGAAGCGTCTGAGCCATGTTATGTTATTAAATAAGTCACTTTATGGTACATGTCAAGCACATAGGGAGTTCAATGACGACTTCAACACCAAGATGAAAAGTATGGGTTTCGAAGTTTGCCCGGTAGATAATTCATTATACACTCTTTGATCAGGTAATTCATTTGTTCACATTCCTATGCACGTAGACGACGGGATGGCTTTCTCCAATGATAAGAAGATGTTGGCAAAATTCAAAGAAGATCTAAAGGCTCATTACAAGTTTAGATGGAACGATAACCCTACTCTTCATCTAGGGGTTCATATAACTAGAGACAGGGCTAAGAAGACTATCACCCTTGACCAATCGCACTACTGTACAAAGATTCTCGAACGCTTTGATCTCTCAAACTGCAATGGCGTCAAGACACCTTTACCGACTAACATTCACCTTCACACGCCCATTCCTGAGGAGGCTGAGGAGATTGAAGAATATCGTGCTGCGGTGGGAATGATAAATTTTCTCTTGGTGCAAACTCGCCCTGATATCGGTTATGCGGTAGGCTATCTGGCGAGGTTCAACTCTAGGCACACCAAGACTCATTGGGCTGCAGTGAAGCATCTTATTCGGTACATCAAATCTACATCTCATTATGGTATAACTTTTGGGGGTGGAGATACTGGAAAAGTCATAGAGGGTTTTGCGGATGCTGATTATGCTGGTGACGTTGACACTAGGAGGTCCACGACGGGGTTTGTGTTTTATGTGTATGGTTCAGTGGTTTCATGGAAGAGTCGGCGTCAACAAGCTGTAACTTTGTCGACAACTGAGGCTGAATATATGGCAATTGGAGATTGTGCTAAGCATGGGTTATGGTTGTGTCGATTATTAGAGCATTTAATTGAGGGCGCTAGCTTGTCTGTACCAATAGTTCTACCACTCTCAAACAACAATCAAGGAGCTGTATTTCTATGTAATGAGGCGTCGGTAAACAACAGGTCTAAACATATTGACATCAGGCATCATTTCATTAGGGAACTTATTCGTGAAGGAAAACTGACTGTCTCTCATATTTCAACAAAGGAGATGCCTGCTGACATTCTAACAAAACCTGTGGGACCAATTATATTACTCTCTTGCTCGGAAAAACTGAAGTTGAATAGTAATAAATCTTCGTGAGCAGGGGGGGCTGTTGGAACAAACCATTCTCTCATATTGCTACATGATAACATAGTACTTAAGTTCTTACATATAACAATTGTATTCGTGATGTTTTGTCCATTTTATACTCACGTGATTTACCCTAACATCTAATTGTATTGCTGCTCACTTATATTTCCTGATTGTCGAATTCTGAAAGCTTCTCTTTTCTTCTTCAAGCTTTCATTTATACAAACTATAAACAAACCTCATCCCTCATAATCTTTTCAGCGTTGCTTCAAGATATCGTAGACTGAGTTGTTTTGTTTCTGTTTGTTCTCTGATCAGGATTCTCTGAATCCTTTACACACCTCCCTTTTCCTACTCTATTTTCTGTGAAGAGTATGCCTAACAGACGTGTACTCCTCACATATTGCCTAGTGAATCCAACAGCATCCCCACAGGCCACTTTTCTGTGCCATGTTGCATCCCTTCCCAATGTGTCCTACTGTGCCAAAATACCCACCTCACAATCGGCCACCCTCCAAGGTAAAGACCACTTTCCCTTCCCATTTGCTACCTTAACACTTTCTTTGTGGTTTCTCAGCCCACACTGCCACATTACTCTCAGCAACCCCATTCACCTTGATACAACACTTGCTTTGGATTTTCTTTGGGTGGGTGTAAAGAGGGTACAGCCTAGGGTGTAGGCTGTGCCTCATGCCGGGTCATGTGGTTTGTTGTAAACATAGGGAGGCTGTGTAATTGTAGTGTACACATATACACATGTGTTTAGATCTGGTGCAAAGTGGGAATAGTGCTTGTCAAAGATAAAATTAAGAGGGGAGCAATGGGTAGCACAGCCCCCCAAGACCTTGTAGCATATTAATTTATGAGACCTCAGTGAAACACTTGTGCAAGTACATATCACATGGTGGGGCTCAATGATTAAACACAACCACCAAATATAAAAACAAGTTTGAGCAATAGGGAATAGTCCTGAACTTTGTGTGAGATTGGTTTAAAATTTTAGACAATGAGTGATACTCTAACAGAAAAGCTTTGTTATCTTCCCTGGATTTATAGCTAGCATCTTCAAGTCATTGTGGCAAATCATCCTGGAAATTTTTCTGAACTTTGATCTTTGTGGTTTTAGCAAGATTGCATAACCAATAATGAAGCATATCTATCTATATCTTTTGATAAATTTGATTTCCCAATTTGGTATTAAGTTCCATGGGGTTCAAAGTATGATTTTAAAAACAGAGGAGGAAGAAGCATTACATATACCAAGCACATCAAGTCAATTGTCACATGATCACTCAAAGGGCAAGTTTAGAAGATCTCAATTTTCCTATTGCACTTGAATTCTGTTGACAATATATCATTTACATTTGCAGATTTGATTGCTCAAAGTATTGAAATCTCTGAGGGGACATCTGGAATACAAAACACACATACAAAACACTCAACTGAATTTCTGGAATCTAGAACAGATAAAGCCAAAGAATTTTGGGAAAAGAGTGAGTGATTGATGCTCTGAACTGAAATAAAACTGTAATTGCTAATCATAGATTGGATTATTACAGTTGCCATTGAATGTCATGAGGATTTTTGTGATACAAGATTTCATAAGTCATTGATTGGTCAGATAAATGAAGTTCTGTTGTCAGAAGAAGGCACCTGGGCTATACAGCTGAATGACCTTTTTGAAAAGACAAAGCTAAATGGACCAGAACAGGCTGTGCTTTTCCACACGCTAAAAAAGATACCAAATTTTTATGAGCTTCCCTATGAGGTGGTACTAGCAGTCTGGGAACAGTTGCGGAGAGTGTGGCATACTAAGGAAGTTCCTGAAAAAGACAAAGACCTCTGGCGGTATCATGCTACTTTAGCTTTGGATACCTATGATCAGCAAATGATAGCACAAATAAGATCACTCAAGCCTGGAAAGTGAGTTAACATATTGAGTCTCCAAATTCAGGGGTTGGTGGGGTCTGATTGAATCAAGAATCAACTTCTACAGGGAGTTTATTGACTTCGTGGTTGCGCAAAGAGAGATGGGCCTTCATGGATTTAGACTGGCAGGCAATTGGTCTCCAGAAGATCAAAAAGCTCTTTTTGTTTTCTGGATATCTAGTGAGTCATGATGATCAATTCTGATTGGATTTAAATGATACTGACTGAGCATGCAACAAAGATCGAGTGCTTTACTCAAGAATGGAGCGCTCACCCAACTTACAGCTTGTATTGGAAACCCAAATGATTCAGACCCGATTGATTCAAGCAGTTCAAGACCACCCTGACCATTTGTTCCCTGTGCAAGAAGTTGATCAAGATGGCTGGAACAACAAGGCTCAATCAATTTTGATCTCCCAATCCCAAACTATTTTGGATTATATCAACTCCATTGAAAGTTCTGAGTGAGTCTGTTGAAGTTCAACTACTAGTGAAAGTATAGCTTATATGAATATGACATTAACATTGAGTCAAAACAAAGTGATTTATCTGCCATACGTTTCACATCAACACAAAAGACAGTCAAGCCCTATGGTTTGGAGGTAGATCCAGTTTGGAAGGCACAGGACCAAATGAAGATCATAAAGTTCTGGTCAACTTGTACGTGATCAATGTGGGGGTTCTAATGTCAATTGAGCTAATTCCTAGCCTGTATATTTGTAGATGTGCAGGTTTTCCTAAAAATGAGAAACCTTGGGGAGACAGGCTCACTTGAGATTGTGATAGGAAACTTGGTGAAGAGAAATTACATGGAGACAGCTAGTATCATGAAGGAGTTTCTCAGTTACATTGAAGATGGAGTTCATCCCCTGCAAACTAATCCTATCCTTGCCAGATTTCTTGAGTACTTTTCTGCAAAAACTCAATCTCCAGAACAAAACAAAGAAGCTCTTGAGGGTCTGAGATTGTTCAGAATTGAACATGAATTCTAGTTTTTGATTGTACCACATTGTGTGAACTCTAGATTGTGTCAAACAATAATTGTTTCTATGCAATTTTGATTCTTAACCTTGCTGGGATGATCTGATTTCTTGAAACCATCAGATTGATCAAGTCATCAGGAAAGCATGTATAGTCATGTATACATCATGATTGAGATCCATTTCAAGCTTGATTGCTGCAAGGAGATTCAAGACTCCCCTGTACATATCCCCAACTACTGAACTTTCTACCATAGCCAAGCAAGATTCACAACAAAATGTGATGTTTTGATGCATCCAGGATAAATTGCCATAGCTCAAAATTTTTATAAGTCTGATAGACAAAGAACTGCAAGACTTTTGTCTAGACATAATTGACCAAAACTACAATGGTTTTGTGAAGTTAATGATTTTTGGAAAAGTTCTACAAAGTTTTGAAAAACACAAAAAATGTTCAAAGTTGAAACCCCTTATGATGCATGAGGGGTGAAAATTGCACAACAATGACTATATATATGTTCTCCTGTGGGCTCTGTGTGCAAGAATAATCAAAAGATAGGTGTAATTACAGAAATGAATATCTGCAGAATCAGAAGTTGAACTGGAACCCTTGTTCTTCAACCCATTTGTGGTCTAATGAAGCTAATATATTTTGGAATATCAGGTGCCTTGTGCAATTAAGGATGAAATTTTGTGGATTTAATGTTACAAGGTATTGGGCGGCTGCGCCGCCCCTCGGTCTGCCAGATTCTGTCTGTATCTAGACTTGCACAAAGACTCGCGCAATCGTGATCTCACATGACACGCATTCCAATCCAGCTGCCCTAAGTCTAAGAAATGATATAGAAGAATCTCTACAGAAACCAAGTTCTTTTTGTACCTTTCACATAAATAACAATGATACAATCCGCTCAACCCATAATCATTCACGTGCCTGGCAGTCTGCGCGCCTTTGTTTCAATGCTTCCAGTCTACAGTTCCTTTTGATACTGGAGCGATACTGAACAGCACCTCCATCGCTTACCTGGTACGCCACATACAGAGATTAGCGACGAAACAATGCAATAACTTTACCAGCTTACCTTGACTTCCCAAAAATTTTCACTTGACTCCAAACCCATTAACACTCCGCTCAGGCTCAGTATGTTGCCCTGGTCGAGCACAGCCATGGAAAGCGAGCAAGCAACCGCGCTGTCCAGAACGTAGCGCGTCTTGAACGTTCTTCCCTGTATGCAGTTTAAGTCTTGTCAGCGTGAATACATTTGTGGATTATATACGCAACTCACCGAATCCCGAGAACACTCGTGTAAGATAGTCACGAACTCGACTGGAGAGCCTCGACCCGCGATAGCCCGTGTACCCCACTCTAGCACGACACCGGTTCCCATGGCCATCACATCCCCGGTGATCGAATATTCTGAGTCCTGGACTGCGACAACCTCCACCGACTCCTTGCGACTGGTAAACCACGTTGTGCAACTCGCCCCCTCAGCAGCATTTATGGGCCCCTCGACTCGGTAACCACCCGCTGAATCAATTTTTGTCAGGACGGACGATTCGGCTATAATCTTCACACCCGAATTGATTTTACGGTTCAGATCACACTGCACCTGGACAATAGTGTCAGCAAAAGGCCGATAAGCACAAAATCAAACACACCTGTTTAGACCGTTTGACTATCCCGCTGAATTGTAAGTCCATTTCCTCGAATTATCGGCTGTCGATTGAATAGCAAGTGTCGCTGTGAGTCACGCAATTTTCCAATGCAGAGGATGCTCTGATTCAAACAATCTCATTGTGGACAGTCTCTTAAGTTCGTTAACCAAGTATTCCGCCTCCGTCAACCTAGCCCGGCATCCCCTTCGTTATTTTCAATCCGGTCGAAACCGCATCACGGTCAACAACTTCGTATGTTAATGCGCCATCTCTCAACCACCCAGTCTCGGCTTCCCTCTTCATCTACCAGACTCATCCAGCCTAGGCCGCAACAATCACTAGGCGCCACTATCTTATCCTGTTGACAACTACCAAAGGCATTTCTCGCCTCAAACATATTCCGCAATAAGTTGATGGTCCTATTGGTCATTCTACAGCGATTAAATCTGGTAAACTTGATAATTTCACACTTAGGTTTTTCATACCCCAGTCCAGCTACAGTTCGATGCACAGTTAGGCCAGTTGTGAAGCAGGAATCTGCCGATCTGGCTGCCGACCCAACATACTCATTCTTCGAATCTATCGGACAGCCTTCATATCACTCCACTGGTTCTTTCAATATATATAAACAGTACAAAGAGTAAGGTAAATGAACCATCACTTCGTCCATCCTCGTCGGCCACATAACCACTTATTCGAATTCTAAAACACCACCGCAGTACCTTGAAATGCCGAATTTCAATATGGTACGGTCACAACCCAACCGCGTGAGTAATATTCAGCCGTTCTGTTAGATCTAGCCGTTGAACCGCTTGAATAGCCCGCAGCTTCACTTCGTTTCACATCCCTTCGTTACGAGCATCAAGCTGTCGTCCTGTCCATACACCGCCCTCGAGCCGACCACGGTCTTCCAATCCGGCTACCAATCTTAACGACCAACGTCGTGCTGGAAATAAGGGTAGACTACCAACGAAGGGGCCTACCACTCGTCACAATACTGGGACCGAACAGTAACCAATTATACCCTTGCACTCAATAGGTCATCACTTTTCGCACCGGACATTATTTGTACGTCACTGAGTACTCATACTTCATTTGTTTCATCAGCGACGATCATGCTGAGACTCTTGTACAATAATGTGTCTCATTAGTGAACTCGAGATCATGCGTCACCATCGGTTGCAACGTGCAATTTGTCTTCTACTTTTTGGACACACATCTGGGTACCAAATTGGGCACTAGCATACTTGTACTCCTTTGTATTCGCGAAATGATATAACGTTGCTGGCCCGTGTAACAAAACGTAAACTCTGCTTTAATTCTTGACTCACGACTATCTGCAGCCTTGTGGCGAATGGCTCACTGTGTGGATCATTTAATCTGAGGTTATGTAATTGGGCGTCGGAGAGCCACGAACTGCCTGCTCGTGCCGACGTATGATTCCAACTCATATCATACGGCCTTCTCAGACGTGCTCTGCTTGGGAATTTGTTCGCAACGCCCATACAATTTCGAAAACTTTAGAATTTCACTACCATGTGTTCATCGCAGGCTGTGATTATACGATGCCCAAGAATCTCAATACATGACCTCCATTCTCCATTTGCTGAGCACACACCACCAGACCAAGCGTTATACGATGTTAGTCACCAAGTTAATCATTGTATTACACGCGCATCAATAACATTACCAGGGGTGATGTTGTTTAAGATGTCACCCGACCAATAAAGAGTTGCAGCGCCCGTATACTACACTGGGCGTCAAACCAAGTGAAACAACAACCTAGCGTCGATTAATTGCAAGATAATCTCGGCGCACATTTATAATTCACTTTATGGACAACTATTTGCAATTCAGGTGTATTTACATGTAGTGCCATCGGACTAAAAGCTGATGACCCATTAGACTCACTGTTGAGGTTTACGTACCCACCCACTCTCCAAAAGATAGCAACGTCGCGCAACACGCGCGGGACTGCCAAGTGGCTGCAAACCTCAGGCCAACCTCGCACGTTTGTTTGCGGATCCAGAGCCTAATGAGATAGATGTGCAGCTGGATGGATGAGATAGCGCCTCTGGGGTCGTTGGTATCGAACTGCTATACATGCCCAATACATCCCGTTGCTCATCCTCGCAGGCATCTTCAAAGAAGTAGAACTCCGAAATAAGGTAGTCACTTGAGTTGAATAAGCTGCCAACAATTCAGTGAGCAAGACGTAGATATATAGGGTTGTATGGAACACTTACCCAGCTCGAGGTCCATGCACGACATCATAAACCTCGGTGGTACTGGTCCCAACTTGGTTTGGCTGGATATCACTCCGCTCACATATCGTGATATCTCGGACCTATGAACCAAACGATTCAGCTCAGTTACATGTTAATGGTGCTTGGACTCACTCTAAATTCCCAACAGCTGGTCACTTCGTCATAGTCAATGACGGTGCCGTGGATCAGGACTTCTGCTCCAATTTGGCAATCTTCAACTTGATGCGTTGAGTCCAAACGCGATGCGACGTGATGCTTAGTCAACCATACGACTACCGAACCTCCCTTAAGTATTCATGGAAGTCAGTGTTCGTCTGGTCACGCATGACTATTGGGCGTAACTTACGATTGGGTCATGGTCGACGTGTTTAAGGGTAAGAAGAATAGTGTACTCCCCATCGTCACTACTGTCGTCCAGGATTTCCCTATCAAAAATGCGTCCATGCACAGTCGAGGCCACCTTGTTGATAAATTTTGCAGCGCAATTCTTTGCTCCGGGTCTGGGCTTGCCAAGACTCAAAATGTCTTCTCTGGTGAAATGCAGATGATCAAAGTTGGCAGTGTTCGACGCTATCAATCTGCAGGTCATCGAGTAGAGCGAATCCGCTTTCAAAGACCGATCAGTGTCCTTGCACGTGAGTAAGACTGCGTTGGCGTAAGGATCTTTGCCGTTAACACCCGCCGTAGCAATACAGGAATGAAATGACTTGTATCCACTGTGTTTAATCAGATCACACTCCGACTGTTCATTTTTCGAATCGTCAGCATTCCCATGGTAAGGAAGAATGTCCGCGGCTGCTTACGAGTGGCCCAGCCTGTCCCAAAAAGTGCAAGTAAATTGGATTTCTGACAAACCCAGCGTTTAGAGTCGGCGTGTCGGGGGGATTAGAAGCCTGCATTTTTGAATGTATCTTTGAACTTATAGCAATCTGTGTGGAGGCAACGTGTCTTGGCGCCGGGCTCAGACAGCGGAGAGTTATAAATAAAGGTTTGATTTGATTGTGAGAAGAAGGGAGGCTGTATAACAATCGAAGGGAAGGGTTCAGATGTTGCTCATCCTTGTGGTTATCTATACTTTAAGTACGTGGCCACCCATTCGGGGAGAAGCTGAGTCTCCAGCCTAGGAGCTGTGATGCCAGGGCAAGCTGCCCGAATTGATAACTTTGAACTTGTAAGCCCATCCTGGTCGAATGGGAAAGCCAAGATTTGCTCAGCAATGCGATTCGGTCCCGAACTGCTTCATTATTGTTTAAGGACCAGGCCAGCGCGCGTCGTTAGTTGTGACAAGTCTGATTATTCACCACGCAATTCCGTTTGCGTATGGTTCTGACCAATCGTACTCCACGTCAATAGATTTGACCTTCGCTGTCTTCTAACCCGTTACATGCTTCAATATACTTGGCACATCTAGGGATCCGAGTAATCGAGTCGAATCACCGTCGACAGTTACAATCATAGAAATTCTGTCATCGGGCTTAACTTCAAAGCCGGTAACGTCTTCAAGGTCTTGCAACTAACGATTCTGAAACTTCTCTTCTATTCAAAGGAGAAGACTCATGCTCTTCACGTGACCTGCAAGCGCTGCCCTACTTTCTGAGTACCGCATTGAAGTTGTCAACACGGGTCACGTAAATAAAAATCTCTATAGGCATCAAGACCAGGTGCGTACTTTAATAATGAAATTGTCCTGACCTGAATGTCTGTGCAGGGGACAATAACGCAAGTCTTACTTAAGACCTGAATTAAGATCTATTTCCCAGGTTTGTGAGGTCTACATTTGTGAACATACATGAATGACACAAATCCCAGTTCGCACAGAACCTCGACCACGACATAGCGCTTTCATATCGACGTTTGCCTATGCCTACAACTACTCCTCTCACCATGAGATGGACGGGTGCTGTATCATTACGAAATGAGGTTATTGAACATTCAAATCCCAGACCCTGTTTTTCTGCAAGCTGACTTAATAGTAGACTTTTGTTCTGGGCTGTTCCGGCGATTGGCATTGATGCTTCGAAGTTGAAGCGGAAAATCCACTCTCCCGTCGACCAAAGTCTTCTTTCAAAATTACGATTCAAGACTCGACACCATTTCGCAATGGTGATGTCGTGACACTGGACGGGACTGCCGCCGCCCTTAATGACGGCACCGCCACCACAGTTGTTATGGAACGTCCATTGAGCTACAGCTCTCCGGAGTGCGCTTCAATGTCTGAACTTGTAGTAAATCAAATACGCGTCTCTGCCTGTGGGCTGGTAATTGACTGCTTTGCTGAGGAAGGAAACTGGGATAGTATTATTGTCGAACATCGCGTATGGGTTTCAATGGTGAGCCTTTCATGTAACTTCATATTGAGCGCCCGCTAATTCCTCGTTCAGTGGGCAAGATGGATGGATTTCAAGGTTATCTACGTCGATATAGGGAATACGGTGCTCTCTTCAACCGTAGGCATACGCCCGGGTGAAGTTTTTAATCTAGCGGGAACAATTCTGGAATTTTGCGAGGTAGGCAATATGTGGGCAGTACACGTCAGCACTTGAGCATTTTTCGAACTTCGGCGTACGCTGATTATACTGTTTACTACAGCTTAACGGGCTCTCATTGGATACCGATAATCGTTCGTAACATCCACACCGTCACAAAGTGTTTGAGGTAGAGAACCAAATAATGACCTCGATATTTCCCACGATAAACAACAATGTACTTAACTTCAATCCCGGTGTCATATATTCATTCGGCGTGGAGATAGCTTTGTTTATAATTGTATCTCTGACATATCCGAATTGGTGACTCCGCGCGAGATTCAGTCTCCGGCACCAAAGTGATGAGTATCATTGGACGTCATCATGAGCACGCGGCCAAAGCTGCGGAGGTTATGCTCGGCAAACGAGTCGTCGTCTCCGCATGTAGTGCTGCCCCAAATGTGAGGACTGTACGCTACCCTACACAGGGTATCCAATTTTAAGTTAACCCCCCAGCCTAATCAGAGACAAGATGGCAATCAGGCATAGACGACTCAAACAAAGGCGCAACGTGGAGGCCAACTGTAAGGAGAGCTGACACATATCGACATATACCTGGAGCAAAATCGCTCCATGCGGCACCTTATGTGCTCCTTTGTCATCATAACATATGTTGCTCAAGTATAACGGAGGGACGATCAACAGCACACAAATATCGCTGTAGGCACCTCATATAGAACTCAGATGATTGCGATATCCACGAAGTTCGAACTATAAGTATACTCCTAAGTCCGCGTCGCTGCAGACAGCCACGGCGAGAATTACCCTCACTCAGTGAGTGTGTCTTGTACAACATATAAACGAAGCCCATTGACTTCCCGTCAGATTCGTCGAACTTCGACACGCGATCTGTTTAAGACACCATATTTTCGCTTGCTGCCATTCCGGTCTTACACTCTCCGCAAGAATGTCTTCCACGGCGCGTTTTAACATTTTCTTACCCGCTATGGGCATGAAGATAACGCCCAAGAATGACTACACCAAACATAATCTTGTTCGGCGACCAGACTTGATAACCCCTGGCATGTCTGCTCGTCGAGCTTCCGATTTTTCATTCTTGGAAATTCCCGACAGTGCGATGCCCGAAGTCAAACATGGCGTCGATCAATGTTTTACGTGTTCGATGTATGGTCACGTCTTCGTGGATTGCCCCATCAAGGGAAGCAAGCCACGAGAGGACTTCAACGATTGGCGACTCGTTGCCAACGGCAAGGTCTACAGCTGCCTTGCTTTGTGGCCTCATCTTGCTGTTCAACGTGCTATAGCGGCTTCGCCACTATTCAAGGTTCCAGTGCCGCCGAGGTATGTCTGTTCAGCAAATCGCCTGGTAGCCTCTGTGCGTAGTGCGCTTATTACAACGGGATACTCATTTCAATGTGTAGCGCGGTCTCAAGGTCCTTGTCCATCACGGCAACGGCGTCGTATCACCACGGCACATCCCTGCCGTCGAAACGGAAGCTGTGAGTCTTTCCATCGAGTCACACAAGTGCCGTCATGATGTTATGTTAAACTACGGTTGATTGCTAGGTCACCAAACGCCGAGCAAACATACTCCGTCGCGTCTGCACAACCTTCATCTACTGCCGTGAACGCCCTCTGTTCCCCGCACGATGAAGGACGGCAACTGTCAGTATTGCTAAATTGTTAATGCTATTTTTGAGGTCATAATGATATGTGACAATTCGTTAACCTTAATTCGAAATCAAATCACTACATTTTGACCCGAGGATAGTTCCGTCCGCAAGTATGTGTATCCTAACTTTCTCGACAATTCCACGCTCATCGTTTTGAAGCGGGATTTCATTTTAATCTAGCGTCCGCACTGAAATCGTGATTGAAGACGATGAGAGACGGTTGGCGTTATATCGTAACAAAGCCCTTCGCGATGATACCAGCTTGTGAGAATTACCATAAGTCGTATGAAGGGATAGAATGCTAAGTTTTCCAACTTTGTGTCAAACTGTCTTACAGGATTTGTCGCCCCGGTCAAGTTGGTGTTCCGTCGCAAAGTAACCGAGGCGCGGGTGGGAATCTTCATATTCGAGTACCCGAAATGTACGTTCATGCCATTCGAGTTGTACAACTACGGATTTCATGAGCTGTTTTGGGTTTTTAGGAACGACGCAAACAACATGTCGGTGGCCGTCCGGGGAAATGATGCCGAGATAATGTGATTCACTGGTGTTGAATGATTGGACGCAGAATACCAAGCTGATAAATGACTACACACCAGGTCAGAAATACTCCGAAAGAATGACAGGGATGGCAAATTCCAGCCACGCCGGGCACGGTCTAAGTCTTGTTCAAGTATGATTCGTATCTGCATGAAGGTATGTCTGTACCAAAACCAACAACAATTGAAATTTTATTATGGCTGATCTTCTTGATTTGAAGTGCTCGGTATATCGTCGTTCTCCGTGCCCGAGGGACCATGTCTTGTGACCATGTTGAGTCTTATGTAGCGATGGGTGCAAGGAGGGTCCGGCACCAGACGAAAGGGTATGTGCATCAATTGAAGAATGTCCGTATGATTGCAGGATTCAACGGTAATTCGGTAGTTTATTGGTCTACACACTCGCCGGTCCAAACCTCCATCTGTGTTTCCTGTTTCATTATGTCAGAAGCTTGTCTTATTGTTTAGCCATTACCCTACAACGGTATTTCGCGTCACATCAAGTGTAAAACGGTATGTTATTGCACATCTGTCAGTGTCTGGAATGAATTTGTAAACTACTGGAATAGTGTTCTTTACAATGTGTCGGATTGGATAATTGTTCGATAGTACTTGAGTCTTTGCATGATTTCGCGCGGCAAAAGCCGAACTCATTTGTCGCAAACTATGCTGTACAGCAGCGTAGTTGTGAACTGTTGACTGACGCGGAATTAAACGCTTTCCGCGTACGAAAGGTCTTGCCTTTGAAACACTTTCGACGACTATACATGTAGCGTGCTCACTAGGGTTACGTAGCCTGGGCATGTAACACCTCGACGTGCCTTGACGTCGCATCAAGGCTGAAACCGCTGATATCTTTCCAGCCTTCATGTAAGTCGGTGAAAGCAGTCTTATCCAAACAATGGACAGCCATGGGAGTATCCGGCGAGCGGAATGTTTCGCCTGCTGAGAGTATCTCATTGTTTGTCTCTTAAATCCATATCACGTTGCACATTCATTAAACCGCAATCTAGTCACGCGTCTTCAACGACTGCGTCTAATACCAGTGATGACATGTTTGTCCTGAAGTGATAACTTGAGGCGTACTTAGTTCAAAGGACGCGTAAGTAGCGCCGCGAAAATTAAATGAGTAGCCAGAAATCGTCAAAGTCGCCAGGAACTACGGGGTCAATTTCTACAACCTGGAGTACCTAACGTCGGCTTAGTGTCTCTTATGAGGATGGAAGTTAGCTTACAGTTATTGCCCAACGGTCACCGTCCGGCAAGAAGTTATCTAGGTATCCGTAGATTGCGACTACATTTCCTTCACGAAACGTACCCCTACCGACTTCTCTCATGACTGCACGACTGAGATAGTGATCGATCTCGAGGTTAGTGTATCTACGTAGCTGTTACGCACAGTCAGTTAAAGTCCGTTGTAGCGAGGATTCTTTACTTACCTCTTGATTATAGACAGTGTGCATAATGTTAACCCACCATCGTGATTGATTTCGTTGGTTTCGACATTGAATGACGCGTCCCCGACTCACGACCGTACTCCTGGAAGTAGGGTTGGTGCCATTTGGCGCATGGGATATCACAGCGATTGCACTTCGCGCGGTCGGGTAGAAAATGGTGTCCTGCCCAGCGAATCCAGGCGTGACGGGGCCCCGGAGGTGATAACAACAGTTGGTCGCTAGGTCCATGCAGTCTGCATCAGGTACGATGAGAAGATTAAGAGTGTTCATTATGCTTGACGCGCTTGGCACTTGGATGGAGGACGTATATCGTCGCCTACTCGGCGAGTCATCAGGAGCAGGAGGCAACTATATGCAATAATAATCATAAGCTCGTATGTACTCTGTAAAATAAAGATGAAACCAACGTCACTAACTTGTGCTGTGATTACGAAGACACCTTCGAACAGTAAACCAAGGTGGGAAGGCGGCACATTCATTTTGAAGAGGTTTGATTCATGTAATGACAAAGGTTGGACAATAGAGGAGCGATACGTCCGGAGTAGACTGAGGTCTATAGTACTTAGCCTTGAAATTCAATATGATATCTTTCTCCACCGTTCCTGGTTCCTTGGATCATGAACTGTTTGCCGTCGTGTGCGTTGTCGGCCCTTGAATGAGTTTTGAAGGGGTAATGTTGGTCAGGAATGCCATTTTAGGTCACGTCCGAGTTTAACTTACCGAAACAATGAGGCAGTAGAGGTAACGCTGAGCGTTTTCTGAAGATGCGCGTTGCGATGAGCGTTGGTCGCGACTCAGCAAAACCCCGTGTGAATTCAACACGTCAGGGGGTAGTCATGGATTCATTTCATGTCTTAAAGCCACGGATGCTCTTCAAAATGCGTGACGCGAGGACGTAGGCAATGTTCATATTCATAACAACTTTGCCTGGTAGGTGGGACGTTAGGGAGAAGCGCGACGAAATCGATAGTCAATGTCCTTGACGCAGTGAGGGAGTTTTGAATTGACCACGCCAGTGAAGCGGCCCGCTTCTTTAACTGAAGTGATGATACCACTCTCGTAGGCCTCGTCAGTACGTGGCCTGGGATTCTCATTAGCACTACCGGACATAAGATTCTTGTTAATTGAAACGCATCCGCAGGATTGCATTATTTCAAAATATATACACAGTGAAGGGAAAGAGATAGGGGTAAGTTATAGACCGCGCGTGTGAACATGGAGGCATTGGACGCCATACGTCGGAAGAAGGTGGACATGCAGTGAGCAGTAGATATGGAAGTATACAACTTTGGGAAGTAGCCTATTGAAACTCGAAATGGCAGTACGCAAGAATTCAACCGAATGAGAAAAATGTCATGGGCGTGAGGACAGTGAACAGCAACGTCAGTGAGTCCTGTTCCGAGACGTGATGAAGGCTGGATTAGAAGGAGACGGGTGCAACGGCGAGGCTGTATCGCGTATTGACACCTATTTCAACACACAAAAGAAGGTGTGTGCATCACACGTCATAGACCATGTGAGGGTAGAATGGAGTTCTAGGAGTGGAATGAAATCCCCGGCGCGGGTAGTGCGGTCAGTGTCCATTCGCTTACATAGTCTAAAGCAGACACTCACTAGTCGCAATAAGATGGGTGAGTATCCATGTGCTTTTATGCCGTAATGACAGGTTGGTAAACGACATTAGTTGTTGTGTTTGACAGTTCTGATTCGGTGAGAACAACTGTTGTTCCGGAGGACGAAGTACAACGGGACATTGCGACGTAGAGTTGACCGTGAGCGAAGACAGGCGTTCGTAGAACGACACACACGTCGTCCAAAGTTTGACCTTGTGCTTTGTTGATTGTCATGGCGAAGGCTAGTGAGACGGGGAATTGCAACCTATAAAAGGAAACCGGCGCGGTTTCGCTCCCCGCGTGGTGCAGCCTCATCTTGGGGATGGACATGTTCGAACCCTTCCGAGGCCCTGTCACAATGAGGCACTGAAGCGCATGGTCGGCAGCTTCCGTTACCAGCAATCTAGTTCCATTTGAGAGGCCTGTGGCAAGGTTGAGATTGCGAAGGCACACGACAATGCAGCCGACTTTGAGATTCAGGATATGGTCCGGGAAGCCGTTGACTGCAAAGGTATTAAGAATTTCTGGGGTTACGTCGGACTCGTACTCTTCGTCAACTTCGTCGATTGAAGTGGATGTGACCTGATTGTTTTGAATGGAGTCGAGGATGACGCGATTCAAGGTGTCGACGGTCCGATTCAATGTCGTAATGATTGCTCTCCCTGCATAATAAAGGCCAAGCCGTGCCCATGCCCGCTGTCGTAACATGCCGTCGACTGCCGAGTAGTACTGCTTGACTTTGGAGGTGTTCATGTCCATACCTGACTTCACGCTGATGACTTTTATGAACTCGAGAGTAACTTTGGCAGTAGTAGCGTCTTGTAACGTACCAGAGCCGAGTTTTAATAACCACGCAGCGAATGCGCTCTCATCGGTCACATCCAAGTCCGCATTTGCATTGCTCCGGAGCCTCATGTTGACTGATAGTTTGAATTGATAGATTTGCGACCAGAGGTACGATTGCTTCAAGCAGGCTCGTACGGCGTCCATAACCCCCCCGTGTGGAACTACCGGAAGGATCTGTCGAAAGTCGCCAGAAAACAAAATTGAAAGCCCTCCGAACGGCATGTCTGAATTGCGGAGATCCTGAAGTGACCTGTCGACGCACTCGATGGAATCCCTGTTCATCATGGATATTTCTTCCCACACGAGAAACCGAGCCGAAAGCAGCAGTCTGCCCACCGAGGTTGCAGGTGTGAAGTAACAGGTCGATGCTTCGTCTGCAGGGATGGGTATCTTCAGTTTGGAGTGAGCTGTACCCCCGTTTAGTAGTAACAACGACGCGATTCCTGATGAAGCGACGGCCACGAATGGGATATGATTTGCGTTGCAATAATGAAGGCAGGTATTCAATAAGAAAGTCTTGCCGCACCCGCCGGGTCCGTCGACAAACATGAGCCTTCCGTTTTGATTAGTGATCGCATCTTGCACAGCCTGGTAGACACCAAATTGTTCAGGGGTTAACTTTGGTACGGAAGTGACAAGTTCGGCAGCGCTCGTCGTTGGAGTAGTGACTGTCATATCGAGATCATATTTGAAACCTCCCATATCTCGCATCAAGTCGGTGTCTACATTCCTGAGGCCGACACCGTTCAACGTTTCGCCCATATTCAGCAAGTCTCGTTTGAGTAGCGCGAGGCCGAAGGAGTCTAGATGTTTGTCGGTGGGGACGAATTTTGGAGCGCTTAAAGCCAAGCGATACTGACAATCGTCAACTAAATCATCGACATGTTCATCCCAAAGACGCTGTGGATTTGCGGGAGCACTATGTACCAGGATCAAAGCCAGCATTCCACGCAATTGCGCGCCTGTCTTCCAGATAGCTGCCTCGGTGAGGCATGAGTCATAATGAGCATCGGTCATGAGCAATCCTCGAGCCTCCGCCGCAGTGCGATAATCGGTGTAGAGAATACCGTTGAATTCTCGTAAACTTCGAAAAGAGGTAACACCTCGAACTTGAGTTAACAGCAAGCGTAAGAAGTAGCGGTCGCCATGCCCTGGGCGTGCAAAATAAAGTCGGGAAACGGCACCGGTATCCATTTGGCGTCGAATCCATTCTTTGTCGGTCTTTTGCCAGAGGAAGTATCGTGTCATTTCGGTATACAAAAGGCTTCGAATAGCTGTTGTCGATTTGGGAATCGGCTGATTTTCGGAACAGAGCCTCATGTACTCAGTAAGTGTCGTTCTTTTAGCTTTGCCCGTCCTGAGCTGAGCACGTAGTCCTTGAGCATCCTTGAAGTAGACCATGTTGTTGTCTTCATCGTGGAGTGTAAGGCGTTCGATAGCCGGGTGCCGGCCTGACAATGGGTACTTCAAGAGCCGCCATGCGGCTTTAAAAGGAATTAGCCTCAAGGTGTAGGATGGTAAGGAAATATTACTTACCTTCTGAAGCACCTAGGAATCGCCCGTTGACAAAGTCATTGGGTTTGTTATCCGTCTCCAGACTCAGGTCTTGGCGATCGTGGCCTTTTGAAATGTACTTGTACAAGTATTTTACGGCCTTCATACTAACAGCAACTTCGACGTTCATGTGACATTGATATTTTAACAACAAAAAAGGGTTGTACGCCACGATATCTTGATTGGTATAACGATGTCCATTCTTGATGAAAAAGGAGCCATCGTCCGGACGTTTGTATTCAGGGTAAGATCCTTCCGTCATGATAGTCTCGTCTCGAAATGCCTTTGGGAATTTATACTTGCAAGATTGACCGTTCCAGCACGATTTCCCTTTACCGCAGGGACCGTGAACCATCAGCTGCGTCACCAGTTGGTAAAGCAGTGGCTCTTTGGTCTCGTCTGGAATCGTTGCACGCACAACCAAGTCGACTTGTTCTGGGGTTCGGGGTGTAGAAGCCTTGTCGAGAATGAGAATAGTGTGCGTGTGGGGGGCTCCACGCTTCTGGAATTCAACAGTGTGCACGTCTGAAACACAGACACCAAGCCTAGCCCTCTTGATGACATCCTTGTGCATTTCTTGAAATTTCATTCTGTAGACTCGGGCAAGCAGGTCGGGTCTATCTTCTGATGACTGTCCTGGCAGGAGGGCGCGCTTCAGGTCTGGCCATTGAGTGTTGGCGGTCATAGTGATGAACAAACTGGGCGGGCCGAAGGCTTTGACCAATCCCATCGCGTCTTGATAGAGTTGTTGCATTGCGCGCGGACCACCGATGAATGTAGCGGGTAAAACGACGTTTCGTCCAATAGTCAGGTCGTTTGTGTTGAGCGCTTCCGTGACACCGTTACACAATTCCGCTCTGAGTTTTCTTTGATTCGTGTGAATGAACTTCAGCCTCGCGTTTTCAACGCATATGTACATGTCGACTAAGTACTCCTGAAAGAGCCTACCGCCTCGCAAGATGGGGGAGAACCTGTCCTTTCGGTCGAACAGGGTATAGGCAAACCATTTGAGCGCAGTTACCTTGCCGGCTTTACCTGAATAAGGGTGTTAGTAACGGTTTAACCGAGGGAAATGATTTGTGACTTACGTCGTTCAGAAAAGTGGCGATAGTGCTCGTCCCAGCCATGGGATCCGTGTGCAGAGAATAAGGGGTACCGGAGTGAAAAGTAGCATGTGTTCAGCTCCGAAATGCGACGAAGTTCACCACTTTTAAGGTGGACGATGACGTCACGGTCTTTGGATCCGACTTTTCCGTCACCCTCGATTACGGCGGCCACTTGACTGCAGGTGGGAAAATTGTACCGGTTCTTGTCTCGACCAGCTACTTGAAGAGACTTGATTTTGATGGTCCTGACGGGACCATTGCCGAGAATTTGCTCAGCAGCCTTGTACGTCTTGGCGTGCGCATTCTTAGAGTACATGAAGTCCTGGATTTGTCGGAGCACACAGGCGTCCATTTTGGAATTGGGTGGTGTTCTGGTGGAAACTTCCTCGTCTGCTTGGTCACCGTATATAAACATTTGCGCGAACTTCTTCGGCGCGTTATCAAGAGGAAGCAGAGAACCGATGAGGTGAGTCAGCTGGCCCTTAATGCGGTAACTCCATTTACCGCCCTCACCAGCGACGCTTTTGTCTTGCTTGGCAGCTGTGGATGTAAATGACATGGCGTTATTGTAACTTCGAATGTTCTGTCGGAACATCTTTGAAGCTAAGCGTCAGATAGTCAGTGGTTGCGACGCAAGGTTAATTCACACTGAAGGACGACGTACTTTTGTCCTGGCGAGTAAATAAGTTTTGGAGGAAAGGAGGCGTCAAATCGTTCTCCAAGTGGTCGCTAGGAAGTGCCACAGCGCCTTGTTGACAGCAGGTTGAATACGTCGCTTGGGCCCACAACTTCATTCTTTGGGTCCTCTCAAGTTTCCAATGTAGTGCACCGCACATCTTGCAAGGATCGTCGCACTGGCCGATGTCATAGGGAAGCTCGTTTGGAAATCGAGAAAGCAGGCTTGTTTCCGAGGTGTCTTGTAGTGTACTGCAGGCGCGGCCAACCTCACAGTGATTCACTTCTTCGCAGTCGGATTCACTCGGAGAACCGGAGTCACTCATGGCGCTTAAAAGGCTTCAAACAGGGTGTAGATTAAGTGGTGCGGTATAAATGTGAAGGTGAAGTGGAATCTGGAAGGTAAAAGGTGGGAGTACGCATGGGGAGTGCTATTTATTTCATCAAATAAAGGGTGGAAATATATATTGACAACTTATAACAGTACGAACATGATAATGTCTGGCGGAAAGGAAATTCAGGCTGACTCAGGCCAAAAATATATATACGAGCCCGGTCACGAATGGTAGAAAGCTGGAAAATCAATGAGGCGATGGACTGAGGCGTAATTCAGAAGAGCAATCAGTTAGTCTTGGTCTTCTTGGCTGGGCGGCTGGAAGACGATGGACGCGAAGTGCTGGGGCCGGCCTCAGGGTACAATTCATTGATGATGGCATCAGGCGTTTCGGCGAGTTGACTGCTACTGTCAAGGCGTGGCGAAGATCGTGCGGAGACTTTTTGGGTTGTAGCGTTCGTAATACTGGTCGGGGTGGTCTTTGTAGGAGTTCTTGGAGCCACGTGCCTACGGATTGATGGTCAGACAGGTTAAACATAACGAAGACAGAAATTGACTTACTTCGCGGGGCGAACTCGACCGGTTGGAGTCACCTTGGCTCCTTGAATTGCGCGTTTTTTAGAAACTGTCTCAGGGCCAGTGCATACGTTGAGTGCCGTAACCTGGATAGGACAGTGTTAGTATGTGGATGAAAATGAGGGGCGAATGTACTTGCCTCGACGATCCAGCGGTTGGAGGTATCGTCCCAATCAACAATAAACCCATGAACCAAGATTTCCTTGCCGCATTGCACGATGCTTTGAGATTTCTTGAGCTTCAAGGTAGGACGAATCCGGTATTCGAACTCAAATGTAACAGACTCACGGAGCTAACAGGGTAGGGTCAGCAAGGGTAAACACGGGCAAGGAATAAAGGGAGTACCTCGGGGCTATAATCGACATGTGTCATTACAAAAGCGAGAGTAGTGTCCTCAGAGTTGGGTTCTGGTATGTCGACCTTGGATGTAACGATACCTAAACCGGAGGCGCCGGTGTTATTGTTGAGCTCGCCGGAGAACGTGTCAGTAGTTCCCACCATGATTTTATGCTCTGCTTCGTAGTACAGCTTGTACTTGGCTGACTCAACCTGTGGGATCATTTTGGCCCGCAGGGCGTAGCAGTGTTCTTCGTGAGGCACTTCCATTGGACCGCAGTATGCAACCAGTGCACCGTCGTATTCACGGGAATTGTCTCCTTGCCAGCCGTCGCAAGTGATAGCAACAGTTGTTCCACGGAAAGTGTAGTTCCTATTGTCTGCAGGCGCGAGCTGTTTATTTTTAGAGTCAGCTAGGGATTAAAGGAAGATGAAGAGGGTGGGACTTACGGTGTCGGACACTTCGAATACAGATGAAACATTGAACGGGTGCGAGGGTCTGACAGGAGCGTTAGACATGTTTGACATATATATTTTAGTAAGACCGTGATGCTGTGGGAAGAATGCGTGGAGACGTCATCAAAACAGCTGGCATTGGAGGAAGGATGGGGGGAACGAACCTATTAAATCGTTGTATTGTACCTGAGATGATTGAAAATGGAAATGGAGTGGGATTTGTTTAGAAAATTGGAAAATGGGTATGCGCTGAATGTGATACGTTTGATTGAATTGAAAGTGGAGTTTGGAGATCTGGTGAGCTGGTTGCCGGTATTTATAGAAATAGACAGAGGTGTTCGGGTTGATGAGGCGATCTAGGTGCGAGATGGCCAAGGTACAAGGCGGTGACGATAGCTGATTGGAAGTAGAGGCCGGAGAAAGAGAGAAATGGCCTGTATGAGAAGGCGAGAAATGTGGTAGGCTGGTCCAATGGTAGCTGCGGCTTGGCACATTTCAATTGATGAAGTGAGGCTACATGAAAGAAAAGCGGGCACGTCGAGCAAGGCATATGGTTCAAGGGTGAGCAAGTGCGAAAAGGTGGCCGGTATGGAGATGAATGTTAGCGAGGTGTGGGGGTAAATGGATAGGAGCGGATTACAGCGGGAGTGAAAGACGGATGTGACGTGGCAGTGAATTGACGTGGCAGTGGATTATAGGGAGGCTGGTCGGGCTGGAGGCTGATAAGTCGAGATGGATGCGAACGCTGAGATAGTCAGCGAAACAGGAGATCGACATGTTATCCGGGGATAGGAGTGGGTTGTGTCAAGGCGCGGGAGGCGGAAACTGTACGGTGAAGAGTTACAGTGCAAGTGTAGTGAGGCATACGGGAGTAGTATGCTACGGAAAGGGGGGGTTATGGCTATGGAGAGAAAAGGGTGGATGGGCAAGTGAGTTGTAGAGACGTCCAAAAGTGTAGTGCAGTCGAGGATTAATGGCACGTGGCAGTGGGAACAGTCGCGGAAAGTTGTAGTTTTATTAGTTAGATATCTTGAACCCATCAGGATAATCAAGTCAGCAGGCCGTAAGCTATGTAGTACAATGCATAACCAAAGTCAAACACCCTTTGGGATTGCTTGTTGACACACACACACCAACCCCCTTTGAGGCAATCTGAGTTTGCTTGTTGATGCACCACACAGACACAATGAATGTCATACTTTACCTATGCCATTATAAATGGGAACATCATCCACTGCTAAAACATAAATGAGTCTACAAAGTCATGCTGCCCAATTCTTTTTGCAAAGAAGTCCTCATAATGTGTGAGAAAGCCCCCCCTGGGAAGCACATGCATGACATTTTTCAAAAGTTGTTAATTTTAGAGACATGGGAGGCCAAAGTACATGGAGTTTTACAAAAAAAATGCCAATCTGAACCCACCTAATATCTTTGGTTTAGATATACAATAAGCTTTGTACCAGCCTCACTACTGTTAGCACTGCTATAGACTAGCATATCAGATGCAGGGCTTATTCTATCAAATGAGCAGAGCACACACTATTTCCAAAGAGCCTGATCCACCTATTGTCTACTTCACAAAATAATTCTCAAAACACTCTTTGGGAGGAGCAATGGTTTGGGTGACCACATCTCAATACTATTACTGAGTTATCTTCATGACTACATCCACTTCACTCAGTATGTAAATTGCAGATCCAAACTCTTGGGTCAGTCAACCAGGAGATCTCAAGATTGACTCATGGGACTCCTCTCTTGAAGGCTTATCCACTTTCAACTACATAGCCATCAAGTGGAATGTGTATACCTGGGAAATCAGCCTTTTTTTCTCCTCAAGCTGGGAATGGCATTGCCTATCAGATTTGAGCTTTAAATATAAGGTTTAATCAAAATTCTGACTGTTCTGTGCTTTCCTATATCACCTGTGTTACTGGCCATACCCTAAGAAGAAACCTTTGAGCAAAAAGTTAAGAATGTCCAAGATCTAGTGATTGGACTCACACCTCAAATCAGGATGTGGTCTCAGCGTCTAAGGGCATTGAACCTCCACACAGCACCTTGTAGATGGGGTGACAGTGTTTTACATTTCTGGGATGTCTGAGTTTGGAAGCCTGTGTGGACACTCTGCTGTAGTTATCCTGATGACAACCACTCCTCCTGCAAAATACTCAGATGTCCATAGATTGTCCAAGTGACCTTGTGGTATAACATTGCAAAAAAGTAATCTGCACAAGTGAAGTGTCAATAAACACTTCATCAATGCCAGCCAAGGTTCATGCATTTCAATAGATCTGACAAGGCCTTGTAATCTTTTTGAAAATGATGTTATGGTGATTGATAACAGGTCTTGAATATGTGTGTTATTTGAACATCCAACTGGCTTATGTAACTTGATATGATAATGCAATTGTAGTGCAATGTATATGCTAGAGCATTGGTAACAATAGTAAGATATTTTGAGTGTTTAAGAATTTTACCAGATATGATAGAAAATGAAACAACAAAACTTGGCTTTACCATATGATTGACTATCTTGTGATCTTTGAGATTACAAAGCTTTTTTACCAATCTAATTTGCTAGGTTTAGTATTAAACATACCATCAAGTGGAATCTTACCATGGTATCCAATTCCATCAAGCCAAGGCCATTTAGTTGATCTAAGCTCTTCGTAAGCTTTGATTTTCTCTTCCTTCATGGTTGTCAATCCAATATCATCTAAACCTTCGATCAAACAATGTTTACGGAAGGCGTCAACCTCAAATCCGATTTCCGTCGTTTTCCCATCCTGTGATTTGCTTCGGATCTTTTGATGAGGTAAATCAACCTCGATCTCAACACCTTTGGAAGCCTCGGCGGCTAAAGTGTCAACGTGTTCTTGAGGCAAGATAATGGGAAGCATTCCATTTTTGAAGGTGTTGTTATAAAAGATATCGGCAAAACTGTAGCACACAGTTTGAAAACGTATTAGTTAAACACGCATATTACGTGGAGACTTGTGAAAATCCGGGAGTTTGGCGAGTGAGAAGACAGCCACTTACCTAGTAGCAATGACGCATCTGATTCCAAAATCCAACAAAGCCCATGGTGCATGTTCTCTCGAACTACCACACCCAAAGTTAGGGCCTGTGACAATCAAGATCTTTGCTTGATCGAAAGGTTTTTGATTCAAAACAAATTCAGGACGAGGTTGTTCTTGGCCATCGATTGTCTGAAAACGCATGGCTCGGAATAGAAATTGTCCCAAGCCAGTTCGTTTGATAGTCTTTAGGTAAACCGCTGGAATGATCTTGTCAGTGTCTACATTACTATATCAGAAAGACCAAAATAGAACCCTCAAAGTCAGCGCGTAGGGGAGATACAAGTCCAATTTGGAGGTGATCTTACGCGGCATCTAAAACAGCTGCAATTCCTTTCCAAATCGTAAAATTGGGTAATCCGGCGGAGCTTCCAGCGCCTTTGATAACCGCACCCGCACTCTGAACTGGGGCATCATCAACAGGATGTGCAACATTAGCTTGCTCAGAAGTCTTGTTGGCGTCAACTTGCTCGGCCTCCATAACAGGAAGGATTTTCGGGCTGGACTTGGAACGAGGATCGGGCATCGAAAGCTTGCGTATATCAATAAACCTTCCGGCTATAGCCGCTGCAGCCGCCATCGCCGGGCTCATCAAGTGAGTTCGTCCTCCAGGACCTTGTCGACCCTCGAAATTTCGGTTCGAAGTGGACGCACACCTTTCACCAGGCTTGAGTTGATCCGGGTTCATTCCGAGACACATTGAACAACCAGCCTCTCGCCAATCGAATCCTGCCTTCTTGAAGATACGATCTAATCCTTCCTTTTCAGCTTGTAACTTGACGAGACCAGACCCAGGGACTACCATTGCATAGACTCCGGGAGCAACATGCTGATCTGGTCCAATTACCGAGGCAGCTAATCTCAAATCCTCAATACGAGAGTTAGTACAGGAACCGATGAAAACTTTATCGATCTTGATATCTTCCATAGGGGTGTTTGGTTGTAAGCCCATATATTCTAGCGCTCGGAGCATCGATTTCTTTACACTGTCATCTTTGGCCAAGCTAGGGTCAGGAACTAGGCCAGTGATGGGAACTACATCTTGAGGGCTGGTACCCCACGAGACAGTCGGACCGATATCTTTTGCCTCAACATCGATACTCTTGTCGAAATGGGCTTCGGGATCCGTTTTGAGAGTATTCCACCACTTTACGGCAGCATCCCAGTCGGCACCTTTGGGTGCGAGGGGTCTTCCAGCCAAATACTTGAAAGTAGTGTCATCTGGAGCGACCAGACCTGCTCGAGCACCAGCTTCGATAGACATGTTACAAACACTCATTCTGATACCATGATATGGGCAGTAAGTCGGAAGAACGAATCGAGTAAGCTTTGGTGATCAAACAGAAGATTTCTAAACATTGAGATCTCATCACTTGCCGGTTTTCCATTGACATATCTTCAAAAACCTTTCCACAAAATTCAATAACATGACCCGTGCCTCCAGCAGTACCAATGACACCGATCACATGTAAAATAACATCCTTGCTAGTTACACCCGGAGCAAGGGTACCATTGACTCTGATGCGCATATTTTTGCTCTTTTGTTGAGGTAAGCATTGAGTAGCCAAGACATGTTCGACTTCGGAAGTTCCGATTCCAAATGCATATGCACCAAAGGCACCGTGTGTAGAGGTATGTGAATCCCCACATACTACAGTCGATCCGGGAAGGGTAAATCCTTGTTCAGGTCCAATGACCTGTCATCAAGAAAGAGATAATTTCAGTAAAGCTTGTGGTCTGTCCAACTCAATCAACCTGGCCAAGCCTACGTGAACAATTCCTTGTCGCTTGTCGGTAAGACCAAAGTAGGTGAGTTCGAAGGCCTTCACATTCTCCTCAAGAGTCATCACTTGCACACGAGATTCTGCCCTGGAAGATACAAAATGATGAGCTTATGCGCTTGCACCAAAGAAGAAGAGATCTCTCGAAACGTACTCTTTGATAAACTTGGCCACACTAGTTGCCTGACTTCGGTCATCGGTAGGTACATTGTGATCACAAGTAGCAAGAGTACAATCCGGTCTTCGTACCGGTCTACCAGCATTCCTGAGTCCTTCGAATGCTTGTGGTGATGTAACTTCGTGCACAATGTGACTTTGGTTGGGAATTTGCAAACAAATTCAATGAGCTTATGAGATTTTCATTCAACTTGTCAGGACTCACCGGTCAATATAAATCAAAGCAGAACCATCATCCTTCGCATCGACAACATGAGCATCCCAAATCTAAGATTGTAATAGGTTCAGAGTTTCAGTTAAGTTTACTGGTAGCTTTGATTGAATGATTTCTTTAATTTTTTTTCACCTTATCAAACAACGTTCGAGCCTGATGTACCAACCGATATTAGAATTCGTATTAGATTCTGGGTCAATTCGTCAGTAAGATAGTTTGAATGTAACTCACATTAATTTTAGTCATGTTTCAATCTTTGAACTTGTTTTTGCAATCTGAGTTTGGAAATGACCCCAACAAATTGACTTTGCAAAACAAGTTTTCAACGTAATTTGATTGGTGGGGTGAAAATTTAGAGTTATGTAGTTATGTCCATGCTAAGTACACTCACCTTTCTGACTTGATTTCACGATCCGAGTTATCGGCTTATGTTACGTAACCCTGCTGAGCCATCGATAGGAAGAATGACCAACGATCAAATCATTCAGCTGAGGTCACCAACTCTGAGAGAGCCTCCTACGATATCAAAGGGCATCAATCTCAAGCAAGAGTCAGATTCACAGGCTTCAACTTATCCATCTTACTCGCTCTCAGTCTCTGTCGATCTTAACACTGCAGATGATGATGAACTATCTTGCGCTGTGTGGTACGCGTTAGGTGAAGTGTTTGCACGATCTGGCGTTGAAGGCAACTTGACTATTGTTATCAACCTGGTCCCAAACCCTATCACCGATGCAAAGATGCTTCAAGCACTTCAGAATCTGAGCTCGAATAATACGCCTTCCGGTCCATTCACCTTTACTCGATCTTGGTGGTACCAATCCTACAACCTATATGCATATGACAAGTCGGTGAATAATGCAAAGACAGAGCAACTTATGACGACAGAAAAGTCTTCCTTACCGCAAAGGCCAGCTCAAAGTGCTTTACCATCACCACCGAATCCTATCTACGAACGATACATACCTCACCTAGATAGTTATTTCTGTCTGTCAATATTTGGGAATTCCGACCCGGATATCGACTTATTGCACACCTGGTTAAATGATCCACGAGTAGATCAGTTTTGGAAAGATGCTGCTACTCGAGAGGAACATGTGAAATGGCTCAAAGTTAGATACGATGCTTCACATATATTACCTGTGCTTGGTTCATATCGTGGTACAGCTGGTGATAAATCTATATATGAGCCTTTTGCGTATTGTGAGTCAAACTTACATCAATAAGTCATTTGACTGAATGTTATTCTAATGATATATACACCTCTCAATCGATATCTGTGAATGCTCAGATGAAATATATTGGGTTGCAGAAGATAAGATTGGAACATTCTACTCAGTAAAACCATACGATCGAGGGATTCATATGCTCGTTGGCTCCTCTGATCATCGAGGTCCGCATAGAGTTAAATCATGGTTACCTTCTCTAGCTCATTACATATTCAATGACGAACCACGTACTGAGCGAATAGTTTCAGAACCAGATTGTAGAAATTCAAAAATGATTAGTTACCTTGAAAGCTTTGGATTCAAAAAAACTGCAGAGGTTGATATGGGACATAAAGTTGCAGCGCTTATGATCCTTGATAGAGACGAATTCTGGGCGAAGTGTCCTCTCTGAAATCATTTGTACTGACAAATTTATTTCTTCATGTGAAACTTTTGCTTGAATTATAATTATTATGATCATGTAGCCACTGTAGATCAATCAAGGGGTCAAATTAATATCTGAGTCATGTATCCAGTGCACTATGACTCCAGCAAATTCTTTGTCACGAAAGCAGATGGGATTTAGCTGCTGGGGATTGCGCCACCCATCCTATGTTTGACTACAATGCCTCTGAACTGCGTGATAGGTCATCAGTCAAGTTCAATGAGCAAAATCAAATGTCCAACAATCTGTGAAGAAGGGAGAAGCCTGGAATCCAAAGCACACCTCACAACCCTAGTATTCGTACTCTCTTGAAAAAAGTATCACCAGCAAGCAGGCTTACAGTGATACTTGAAGTGGCTAAGGGTATTTTATTTATCAAACGGATCATTCTATCCTCAAGAACACTTTCCATCCTTCAGATCACCAATTAAACTGAACATGATGTCACCAGTGTCTCGACTGAGCCTGTTTCTTAAGATCTTTTTCTTTGAAAGATGTGGACTTGGAAACTACAAGTAAGCAACCATGTACAGCTGCTGTTTAACATCTTCACCAGATCATTTTATACCTCGAATATAAGACAAAGAACGAAGCCACTGAAAGGCTTTAAATTGAATTCATACGATCCTCTTTAGTACGGTAAACCTTACAAGAGCCTTGGACATAATCAAACTTTACTAATTGGGTACAAAAAACTAAATGATGAATGTGAAAAGGTACTGAGATGATACAATATGAGTAATATAAGTGAAATCATAAATGATGATTCCTCCAGTCATCCTTCCTGGCCTGTCAGAGTGATCGGCACCAGTTCTGGCACTCTTCAACTTCCTCCTAAAAAATTGAAAATAGATGATTAGCAGACGGTACAAATAAGCAATCAATCAATGAAAAAGAAAGGGTTTGGATGGTCTCAAGTTCTAGCACACTGACCTCGTCTAAGTCCAGTAGATCACAAACCGAAGCCATGATATCCTCCTGTACCACCTCGACCAACATCTCGCACAACACTTCACTGAGCATATGCACCCTTACTGTCTTAGGGGCATTCGGATGGACACTTTCGGTCCATGTTCCATCCGGATCTCTGGACCACTGACGTCCTTCGACAACACTTTGTTCGAACGGATGATCAAAGAGACATCCTTCTAGACTCAGAAACAGAGCTGCTGCTGTGAGGACCGAGGTCGGGTACTGTATGTACTCGGTTGCTAGACACAAGAGGCGCAATACATGGGAGATTATAAGCACGAGGAACTTTACAAGATTTGATACTGTTCAAAGAGATACTCACTTTGAACTGTCCTCTCAAGAATTATCTTGAATCCCTCGTGAATCATCTCCCAATCCTCTGGCCAGTGGTTCACAAGTCTCATCAATTCAAAGGACGCAATTTGGAGCTCGGATACAAAGTCAAAGGGACTTGGTGCGGTGACATTGTAAGACAACCCCCTCAATATTGCGCGTTCGTCTGACTGAAGAAGTGCGCAATGGAGATGCCAAGTGGATTATGAGTATAGGTATGGAAGTGGATGGGAAGATTGTGCGATATCACTCACCGCTAGAGATTGTGGATCTGCTGATACCCAGCCTGAGGTCACGACCCTATTGACCCAGACCTCCAGACGGACATTGAAGAGAGGTTGAAGACCATCGATATCAACCTTACATGCTAGTATCAAGCACGCAACACCTGTTCGACGAGCGACCGTTTGAATATCTTCCAACAACATATTGCCAGGGATTGAATCCTGAGACCAAAACGCGGAAAATAACGTGATAGCTCGGTGTCGAGTGGAGGAAGGAATGTCAGGGTACCGACGAAGGTGTAGATCAAACTAGAGAAAACAAAAGCTTCAGATCAGACAAATGCTCCAGAAACAAATGCAAACCGAAGGGAGAAGAGAATAGACGAACTTGTAGGAGCCAATTCACCACCTCCTGCCTCACTTCCGAGGCTATCCTGCAAGATTCAAAGGGGGGGTTCTGGATTGAAGCCCGTAATTCCTTCTCTATCATCCTGGATATCCTATGGTGTGACCGATCCTCCCAGACTACTTCATTTACCAGACTAGAGCCTTCAAGACAATTGAGAGTTGGTTGGACAGGTGAAAAGCTGACATCGGAACCCAAAAAGGTATCAGAGCTAGGTGTGCCGAGCTCCAGTATGGCGATGGGAGACCTCGCTGAGCTTGAGCATGCCGAAGCAATTTCAGCTTCTGAAGGGTGATATTTGATGCCATGAAGGCTGGGCCAGTCTAGGTCCGAAGAGGGAAATGGTACAACGTATTCTACCAGTTGATCTGTTCCCTGTAGACCAGAGCTGTGATCACCATGTTTTTCCTGGAATTCAACATCATTCTGAGACACCGAGCTGAAATAGGCACCGCGGGTAAGGAACCAAAGATGAGTTCTGGGGCGATCTAGGCACAAGACAGCAAGGATGGGTGCTTACATTTTTATGTTTGGTTCTGGACAAGAGCAGACTCTCAAGTGTTTAATTGGAGCCGATTGATGGTCAGAGTTTGAGGAAGAGAGAAAGTCATGTTGAGAATAGAAAGGGGTTGAGCGGGAGAAGCAAGGATGATGGTTTCGTTTGGAGAGATCAGCATTGGGTTCTGAGAAAACCCTTTGAGCGGATCCGCTCAACCGAGTAGTTCTCAACCAGGTGAGAGTAGCAACATGAGATTCCATAAAAGACAGCCGAAGAGGTTGCGCTAAGATGTCTGAAGTGGTGAGTTTCAAGCTGGAATTGTGAGATGTAACACATTCAGTGGCTTGGGTGATAGTTGAGAACATGTTCGCTGTTTATAAGAGAAAATGAGATTTTAATAAGAGTAATATCGTTTGTGAATCAAAGCGATTTGTATGAAGATGAAGCTTGTTAGTCAAAGAGAAAACTGGGGAAAGTGAGGATGCGAGTGAAGTTTGAGTACCATTTGACCTCAGGTTTTATAGGGAAAATGGTTTGTATACTCGAGCATTTGATTGCCTGCAAGATGATTGCAACATGCCAAATCGCTTGAAGTGTAGATGTTTGATATTTTTAATTTGTCATCAGGTTCACTTTGTCAGGGTCATCACATTCTTGAACCTGGACTAGAGGATTGAACTAGACTTGAGCTCGATGATAGTTTAAAAGGATTTGTTGAGAATGCAGGTACAAAAGGGAAATGGAGGAAATTAAAAGAGAGAAAGACAGTAAACATAATTCGATCCTTTGATCACCGTATCTATGAATCTTCATTCATAAACTTTCAAAATGGACCTTTGATACTCGTAAGGAATAATGCAGACTCCCAAGAGTCATGCTTCAGTTACACAGGGACATTGAAGACTGGAGTGTATTGTTCCAATGACCAAAGACTGTTCAATCTCTTTTCACTGTTTGGAACATTCGATTTGAAGATAACTTAACATGTGACTTTCAAAAAGAAATCAAAGAAAATCCATACAAACATTTTCACAATATAAATAGCATATGTACAGAATCACACTGAACAAAGCGTGTATCTTGAGAAACAAACATTTTTGTTACATTTTCTTTAGGATTGCGCACTGATGTAGTTCTGATAATAGATATACAATTTGAAGAATTTGAGAAATGACTACTTCCTTTGGTTTGCTGATCTGCATTGTGAACAAGCTATTCAAAAACAAAAGACATTGGATGATTAATGTTTACATTTGAAAATAGTGAAAAGAAAGGAAGCATCACTTACTGATGAAGGGCATATCAGAGGGTTTAGGACAAGCGTATTGTTGGTTTCCATTGTTCCAACAGTCTATTGAGATGAAGGAATGGAAATTATGAGGTTTTGAGTCAAACAGAACTACAGGTGGAGCTTCAAAAGAAGAAGATGACTTACCGTATTTACCATCAGCTCGGTTCCTATAGCCTGTACATTGTTGATTGCTCGCTCCAGGGAAGCTGACGTGTATACAACCCGACATTGCTGCGTATTGGCGATCTACAGATCGATGATTTGTAGAATGTTAAGAAATGAAACTTCAAGAAATAAATAAGTATGCAAGAGGTTCACAACTGACAATCCTTTGAGCACTGTTTTATTGGGCAAAACCATATTCTATCTATTGTCTCGTGGCAGACTTTTGGAAAGAAGGTACTTGAATGAGTCGATTTTTGTGAAAATGCAAGGTCAAACAATTTTACTTACCAGCGTCTCCATTACCAGCGACTGGGGCGTACATGAGTGTACATGTAGCTTTAAGGGCTTCTGTGAAAGTGAAGCTTTGTATGATACATATAGAAATAAACATGACAATAAACTTATGAGGAGATTGGAAGGACAGCATGATGATATATGCAAATGCCAAAGAAATTGGAAAAAATGCGTTACTTGAAAAGATATATGTAGATGTAAATGACACTGATAAACTTTGTGGTGATTGATATATGCGAAGGAGAACGAAGGGGCTTATGGTTGGAGGAAAAGTCATAAGACGCTGGTAAATAAATACCAAATGTACAGTATGAGTCGCTCCTTGCTCACAGGCGGTGCTAAGGCCATGAGGTAAGATTCAGTCATTTACACCGAAGTGATTGGGTGAAGTAAGATGCTTGGAAACTTCTACGTCTAAACTGGCACTACCCAGTCCTGCACGGGTCACAAAGTGCCTTGACGGACAACTTGAGCAACAGTCTTAGTAGACTTGCACAAGGTGCGCTAGGCAGTGAGTCTATGGAACTTGAAGCCAAGCTCGACGACAGTCAAGATCATGACTGGTCTTCCTCACCTACACAGATCAATAACAAAGTGATCACTATCATCAATTTCATGCATTCAAGGCACAAAAAAAATCTTTGAAAAGAATGACGATGACTGATAAATATATATTGAGATTCACTACAAAAAACTACATGGTACAAAGGTACAACACTTCAAAGGAGAGATGACAAAAAAACGCGACAAAAAATCAGGAAAGGCTAAAGAATAAGGAATACCTCAGGGATTGCACTGAATCCACTTCTCCCTGTCTTGTACCTTCTCTTCTTTTTCATCTGCCAAGCTATTCTAGCCCCAATTTTTCAACAACTGCCTCCTGAAACTCTCGAGTTTGGAAGCGGGATCGGAGTCCAAATTCGGAAGATCATCGTCATCTTCGAAGCTGTCATCATCGTCTGAGGAGTCCTCGTCCGAGTCATCTCCAGTGACCTCAAGTGGACAAAATCGATCGGCGAGCAATTTGGCCTTTAGCTTGGCGGCTTTGCTGATCCTCTTCACAGGTGCTTTCGAGGTAGGTGAAGCACCGGAATCAGAGGAAGCGCGAGGAGTGACCTAGACGTTAGGGAGCAAAATCAAAACACGATGAGAAGAGCCACATATTAATTATCTCAAAAGATGTATGCATTCACCCTTCCTGATCGGTAGTTTGAACTACGCCTTTCCTTACTGCAGCGATCGTGTGATGAGAAACACCAAATTTCTCGGTGCGAGTGTCTTACTGAGGATGCGCGATTATTGCCGGGCTGCAGATGATGATAAAGCAGGTAACATAATCGCGAGTCTAATGTAAGAAGGTATACGTATCAGAAGGGAAAAAAATAGGTTATCTAAGACGCACACAATCTTCTACACGATGTACACCCATCCGCTTTGGAATCGGATGATTGCCCTAGTGATACATCCTCAATCAGTCCAGAACGTCATGGGAGGTACAAAAGATGCGAAGAACTTACTTTGAGACTCGTCACCGAAGTCCGGCGGATGGCGTTCCGTCGAACGAGAGTGGTCGAAATTGCTGACATGTTCAAGGTAGTTAAGAATAAAAGTATAAAAAAGAGATAGGAATAGAGATTTGGCTACGAGAAATAAAGCGCAGTGAAGTTTTTATGTTAAGGAATAGCTAATAGTGCGAAAAAGATAACGGGCTAAATGATTTTCGTTTTTTGGAAAACTTGTTCGAATGTGAAGTGGATGGTAAGGGTGAAGGATGAGATATGAAATTGCATGGTGAGCCTCGATACTTTATAGTAGGTAAGAACACAAAACTCATATCTTTGGACCTGACCTGACCTGAGCTCAGAAGGATAGAAGGTTCAATCCAACAAAATTGAGATCAGACTTCCAGTTAGTCATTTGCCCAATATCTTTCCAAAAAATCAAATGTAAACAAACGTTTTATGAATTTTCCGCACTTCGTGGGAAGGGTGGTAGGCACAAATGAACTTATATTTCTTTGACCATCGCAGCTTTCATCATGCAAAGGCTTTCAAGGCATCGAAAATTGTCGGAATCTTTCCTATCCTTGGCCGAAAAATTTTTTAGGCTCAGAAATGTGACAAGGCACCGTTGGACCGATGCCAAGTGAAGGAAATAAAAGTACCTTCTAAGAGATGACAATCTCAAGCATCAAATAATCTGCAGTTGCGAGGATAGCTTGGTACCTAGGGTATACATGGCAGCAAACTCCACGATGGACCAAGAACACTGTTCACTTCAAAAATGTATAGGAAGGTACACGCATACGATGTTAATGATAGACCGCATTATCATTTCGACTCTTAAAGATCTTTAAAGAACTTGGGTTTTCCGGCTATATGTCGGATGTACCAGGCATAATTTCAAAATGCACAAATGATACCGGCGAGAAAAGTTGGTATGGGTCATCTCAAGTTGTTCATATTGACAGTTAGCTTAACAAAGCCGCAGCCGCGTAGAAGGGCTTTGCTGTGCTAATATTGACAGCCTCACATATATTATGGGCGAAATGTTGGCCACAGGGACATGAGGTTGTAGAAACAAAAACAACAGACAAGAAAGCAAGGATGGAGATATCAGAACGAGGTAGCGCCTAGTTTCTAGTTTGTGAGGAACATCATAATGTACGAATACGGAAACATCGGTTGAGAAACCAAGACATAGCAGATGCGCGAGATTGGAACTGTTTAGAAACAGAGCTTCCAGTGCAGAAAATGAAAAAGGTAGGTTTAACCTTACCTAATGTCTTTGCAATGGTACACAATGTGTTCATTCACTTCAGGTACAACAACCATTATTAATGCAAGTCAAATCTATTTGTTCGCATTGCAATTGACCACAATCGGCACATTGATAACTAGGAAAGTAGAACCACATTCAGATCAGTCAGCAGATCCAGTGTTAGACTAGGGTATCCTGATACACGCTGAACTTACTGTCTCGATGACTGTTTCCTTGCAAAGATTTTGGTCGCCGTAGCTCGTCTTTGCAGGGCTGCATCAGTAGTACTGACATTGAGTATATCACCTATTAGCACATGATCTGGGTATATAGAAACACAAAGACACTACTCACACTACTTCTGTTTGAGTGGGGGTGGTAGAGACCGTGACTATATAAGTGGACAGGAAGGTGAGTATGACGGCAAAAGTAATTTATATATCAGGAAGCATGGGTCGACTGACGAGCTAGGACAGCAGCAATTGCTAATTTCAAGAAAAGCATAATGAAGTACTGCAGATTTTAATAGGAGCAAGACAATTGTATCTTCTGATTGTGATGGTCGAAATTTGTTTTATAAGACGGGCGATGAACGGCACAAAGAGGCGACTGGGGTGTTTACAGGTTTCCTGTCTCGACAGGAAGATGGGTTATATAAGTTCCAGTCATGGTTCCATGTAGAAACATCGCGTATGGTTAAACCATTCAAGAGCGGTCCAAAGCATTCTTGAAGCCACGAAAACGTATATTTATATATACAATAGATATCAAAAAGGCGCGTGCTAAGTCAGTCAGTCACGCGGGACGGAAACCTTTCTAGTTGGGCGCAGTGATTTCCAGTCCCGTGATTTCAGTTTGGAGGTTCTAGAGAATGCGATTATCGTTGGATTGGGCGAAAGTGGGCGAAAAGGCGAGCCGCTAGGGATGGGGAAAGCTGGGCAGGCTCAGCGTTTCAATTCGGCAGGACAGAAATTTTATTGTTTTTTGGATACTTACGGGCACTGTGCCCTACGTGGATTATGTAAACGAGTAGAAAAGATGCCCTGGTAGAAAAAAACATACCACCTCAACTTGTGATGCTAGATGCCATTCATATACATAGACACCAAGTCTATCAAGCCAGAGAGTGAGCTGAATCAGAGAAAGCTTTGAAGGAGAAATAAATTTGATAAAAGTTGAATGATCTATATCTTGAAGGCTTTTTCATATATATCTTCTCCTCTGATCAATTATCTTGTGTTTCAAAGTTTCACCGAACTCTTTCAACCCATTATAGACCTTAAGGATATCTCATTCAAATCTCACTAGATCAAGTTCTCACCGCACTCTCTGAAACTTGAAGAAAAAGTTAATCATCGCCGAACTATTCCACTTCACCATACCTAAATTACTAATCTTGTATTATATCGAAATTGGAATACAAATTCAATAATGTAAGAACCAAAAAAAACAAGGTGATCAAAATTATATAAAAAAATCCTAACACATTGTAAAACAGTTCTACTTAATTTAGTCCAGTGATTTCCACTTTGATTAACTACATCCTGTTTTTTAAACAAATACTCCAATAAACCACTCCACCTTACTGATAACAAGGTTTATTAGACAAGCTCTATAGGTTTTCCGCTGATTAATACCAATTCGAATTGACACCACACCGATGACCAACGAGAGCAACGTGTGTGAATTGATCATGATAAGTTAATCATACTTGCATCCAAACCCAAAGCATGTAGCAAAAGATTAACATTCCGCTAAATTTCACAAGTTTACAATCCAAAATTTATACCGTTAGTCATCAGACTTACAATTATGTATCACAAGAACCATCAATTATAAATCACTTACGATTTTTAGAGATCCAATATCATCTGAAACCCAATTCTTACCAACCGCCATGACATTTTCCAAAACTTTATCTCTTAAACCTCCAACCAAAGCTTGTTGACCATCCGAATCAGTCGAAACAGCTAAAGTAGCCATCAATTGCCAAACCGGTTCATCTTCTAAATCTAATCCAGACCTAATAAATCTTCTAGAATTCGGATGATTCAAAATTTCATGTTCAACTAAATTGGATGTACCAAATGGTAATGATAAAATCGCTCTAGTAGATGGAAATAATGTTGAAAAATCTTGACTAAGTTGGTTAAATAATCTTTCAAAGACTATTTGCCAATTCATCAATGCTTCTTCTGTTGGAAATGTATTAGATTTAGGTGGTGAATTCCCCAGTGCAGGTGATGGTGCATTTTTCAAAATCTCGGCTCGACTCAAGAAGAGTGTTAAGAAAGCGATTCCCGGCTATGGAAAGATCGGTCGAGAAAGGAAAGATTAGAATAATAAGATATTGATATGCATAATTATTGATACCCATGGTCATCGTACCTTGGACCTTGCTACGCGCATGAAGTCATTTCGGTCTATCATGAGCGAGACCAATCCAGCGATGAGCTCCAAAGGAAGTTCATTGATCACCGCCATCATCGGTGCGACCACCGTATTCATAAAGAGATCAGTCTCTGCCTCCATATCAGGTCGACTTCGTCGGTTAGCTGCAAAAGAACCTGCCAGAAGACTATCATTTGGCAAGTCTAGAATATGCGCATCGTGTATGACATCCAAAGTTTGGAACGTGGCGACCAATAACGTGAGGACTTGAAGTGCCTGTTCTCGTGTAAACAATCGAATGATTCGTGGCAGAAGTCGTTTCCCCTTGGCAATGGAAATGAACGATACGAAGGGGTGGGGATGGCTAATTTGTAAAAACATCAGGATGTGAACGCTAGACGGTTTAAGTTATTTACCTTATACCAAGTGGATCCAATACTCTTAGCTGTTTCCAAATCTTGTCCTTTTTAGCAGCGTATTCCGCTTCCCTGTTGAAATCCAATTCAATTTAATCAGAAATGGAATAGGAGGTGGGATTGGAGAGAGAAAGCTTTACCATTGCTCGATCTCATCTTTTTGTGAATCAGGTGCATCATTCGCCGAAAGCGGGGCTGGCTGAGTCCGACGTAGTTGCTCAGCCTCTAAGACGGTACTGTAGAGCCGCTCGAGAGCCATGAGAACATGTCGACGATTCATTGCAGGTTGTCCAGGTACAGTCTGATAAAGATCCCAAAGATCATCAACAAGGCTACCGATGGCTAGAACAAAGAGAGTGACGTACTGCAGGCTGTTTGGGAAGTTCGCTAGCCAAAGTACCTGGGTGATTCTCACCTCCCGCTGCTTCTGCCAAATCATCAGATGTAGAAGCGGGTTGGACCTGTAACATTTGACGTGGAGCAGAGCGAGTACGCAGAGCAATCTTGCCCAGCGCTCCTTCCAAGCTTACTGATCAAATCCCAAAGTTGATCCACAAAAAGTCACTGTAGTCAGTTGAACGAACTCTAGTTTGGTTTGTGGGATATATATAAGTTAAATGACAAACGCTGTGACATTTTAGGACGTTCTTTAGCATGATCCACAATTCTTTGTACATTTTGAGCCATTCTCATCATCGCATGATCACGTCTGGTGAGTTTTCTTTCATTCATCCGATTATTTCGATTCTGCATAAGTTCATGTTCACGACCTCCTTGAAGTCCCGAGATAGAGGCACGTTCGGCAGCAGCTGCCTGCATCTGCTGTTGTGCAACCAATCGACTAGCACGAATAGCGCTATATACATGAAAGTAAAAATCATCGGCATATGGATCAAAACCAGCTTGGCCGTGGCTAGGGTTCACCAATTGCGATACCTGGATTCGAGTAATGAAATCTTTATCTCCTTGGCTCATCAAATTGTTATATCGAGCCATTTCTGCAATCTTGGCAGCTTTCTTACGTCGAAGAGCTTCTTGTCGTTCATGCTCTTGAATACGTGCCTCAGCAGCAGACCGTAGATCATCTATCGCAGTAGGCGAACCTGCGTTGGAGTTTTGGGCTTGAAATAAGGAGTTGATAGGCACTGATCCGGTATGTTGCATTGGCACTGAAGGCAAGCCATGTACCGAAAGACTTTGGGAATGCCCGTGGCTTATTGGTGAATGGGTTCTTGAGCGCATTGCAGACTGTGCCTGCAGCTGTTGTAGTTGAGCCTGCTGGAGCATAACAGTTGTGTACATTTGCTGCTGTTGGTGTTGTAGACGCAACCATTCTGGATGTTGAGGGTGACTAGGGTGCGCCGGATGTGTTAGAGCGGGCAAATGGACTGGTGAAGCATGATTGGAGCGCAGTTGCGCAACGTTCATCGCAGCTAACGACGGTACTGGCGAAGAGGCACCATGACGCTGAGCAGCTGCAAAGTGTTGCATCTGAACCTGTTGAACGAGTTGGGCTCTAGATTTGGAACTTGATGGAAGTGACATAGGTGGCGGATTACGCATTTCGTCGTTTATAGCGGATGGCTGTACTCGAGCGTTTCTGAGCATTTCAGCTTCGACTTCCTCCAAAGTCAAGGCACGAGGAGCCGACGAAGGGATCTGGTTCGATTTCGATGAAGCAGAGTTGGCGCGCATCTCAGCCTCAATTTCCTCCAAACTACGGAATTTGACCCCCTGCGGAACCGAACTGCTTGGCTTGGCTAGAGATGAAGTAGGCATACGGCTACTGGGGTTGATATTCGGGCCTAAAAGGGGATCGTGGGTGAAGTTGATACCACTTGATTTTACCCTTTCACTCTCATTCGGAAATCTAGATCTGTCTTGTGAGTCATGATTCGAAAGAAGGCTCGGCATAGAGGGCCAAGTCGAAGTGGATTCCGCTTTTGGCGGTACCTTGGAATTACCCAAAAATTGAGCCGTAGAGCCAGAAAAATCAAAGTCTTTGCCTGAAGAGGACCAAAAAGTAAAGTAAAGATGAACGAAGACGTAGAATGAGATGGTAGATAAGAGACAAATCTTACCAACTGTGTCCATTCCAAAGGTTTCATCGTTGAAATCATTCATATCCTCTTCTAGAGCACCACCCAAGTTACCCATATCATCTAGATTGTCCATACCGTCATCACCGAAGTCATATACCTGTTTCAATAAGAGCTTTAGTAGATTATTCCATTTCAGACAATAGATATAGTTTTCCTTACGGCGATGTCCTCTCCAAACTCAGCCCGTAACTGGGCCAATTTTTGATCGAGATTGACTCCACCTGGATCATCATCAGCTGCCATGGTGTGCTTTGAAATTGATGATAGTTTTTCGAAAGTTGATTTGTTATCGAGTGAGATTGGTTTGTTGTGGTTTGATTGAGAAGTGTTGTTAGTCGATGGTTTTCTATTTTTCTTTCTTTTTTCTCAACAACTCTTGACCTTCTCCACTCCTGTCACTCTGTTGTCTGTCAACCAAGTGAAGCGTGGCAATCCTGTAATTTTCATAGCATACAACATGTAGGCCAACTGCGTACATACGCAGCAGGCCTGACATTAAAAACACTCGATCACCACAAACTTAACTAAGTCCTTACGCGGACCTAACCACCATCTCCCGCGAGGGACTTACGCGCCATCTCCCAAATCTCGCGTGAGATCTGTCGGTACACCGACAGAAAAACTTATTTCCTCATTTGCCACGAAGCTGCCTGATCGAACTGGCATGTGATCATAATGAAAAAGAAGGGCAGGCGAGTTGTCTCCAACGGCCCGCCCTCAAAATTGATCTATCTCATCTTGATCTTTTTCAATGTGGAAATAACCTCTTGGGGCAATCACCGGGGCTAAATTTATACACATCGCACTCTGATGCTGCGCGTCAGAAACATTTATTCCCTTCATATAAGCTAATGACAAAAAAGCAGATCGCCCTCGTTAAGACCCTTAACAATAATGCATTATCCGGCTGCTTGGTGCTAGTCTAACAATTCCACACGAGCATGTCAGCATTGTTAACTTGCTTCCGCATGGTCAGGGACCTATAGCAAAGATCACCGACCTATTCAGCGCAACAGGGGCTTTATGCCCATGTTGGATAAAAAGCCGATATGTTAAGCTCGTCCGCCTGTTGAAAGAAGCAAAGGAAGGAAAGACATTAGCACCAATTCATGAGCAGGCAATGTATTCGAGGTAAAAAGATGTTACCTCGCGTTGAATGAAATCACGCCAGATACGTTGTTCATGGCCAGCGTCCACGAGTTGGTGCCGAATGGCCATGAGGAGTCGGACAATCGAGCGGCCATAGTGACTCCCATGCCCACGGAAGGGACGCTGATGAGGCCATAGCCAATGGATGCCACGGTCCAGGAGACAAAAAAGGAAATCAAAGACTGTCATTTGCTGAGCTTGAATGTAGTAAATTATGTCGATTGTTTTGGCGGTAAGGGAAGCGGGTGGATTTGATGCCTCCAGAGCTGTATAGACCGATGGTTTCACTAAACGAACAAATTGTTGGAGGGTCATGCCTTCGGCGACAATGGCGTCGGTGATTTTGGCAATGGCCAATTCGCGATCTTCCTCCTCAGCGGGGGACAGAGTGAGGTCCACGTCCATGCCAGGCAAGTGTTTCGATTGGAGAGAGAGGGGCGCGAATGAGCCTTTTGCTCTTGACACCCTTGCTATATATATATATATTTCCAGGGCAGCCTTGTAGTAGCAAGGCTGAGACATGCAAGGGCGTGGGCTTCAGGAGTCCTCAAGGGCGGACCCAAATTAACAGGTGTGTCCCAATCGGTTCCCGGCGGTCGGTTTGAACCCCAACGTGTTGGGATTCAAACCGAAGTGTCATATATCCATGGTCTTACTTAGCCTCAAACGCAGTGATGGTCTGCGGGGGCGTAGCTCGGAAGGCGAAGGCCTTACGGTCCTCAACATTTCAAATGTTGAGGTCCTTTCCCTGAATGCGAGAGGGCTAGCGCTCAGCACGCCGTTTCGAGCAAAGTATTGGATGGCATGAATTGGTTCACGGCCCAAGGTAGCTTGCAGAGGAGGATGGGGTGGCTCCATTGTTTGACCTGCTTACATTCATTTTGGGCAAGCGAAAGGGATAGTGCTCACCAACGTGGTTGTTTCGCGCGAAGGGAGAGTTAACTGGCACTGCTCTCATCCATGTGCAAAGGGCGCCATCATTTGCCGTCGCACAAAGGCTTTGTGCTGACACAAGTCTTAGGGTTTCTATTGGTGATTGGTACAACCAGACACGTGGCCAGGACCAAGTGATGAGATGGGGAATTGGTTTGTTTGGATGGGCAACTCGACCTGCGAACGGCAACTTGGGCCCTCAAACTGTTCATAGATTACGAGTGAAATGAGTGAAATGTCTGCAACGCCGGTTTCCAGCAACCCTTCCTTGCCCAACTCTGCTTCTCCAAACACCTCTTCACGTTCAAAAACTCGCACCGAGAAAGTTTGTGAATACATATCCTCCCTGGGTTATGCGCCCCGAGATTTCATGGTTTCTTTTTTCACATCGTCCGAGGCCGACATCGTGTATCGCCGCCGTCTAATGAAGGCGGGTTTGGGACCAAAACAAACACGTGTGATCGTGTCAATCTTGGGTGTCTAACGTCCTCAACGCGTGAAGGCCAAGCGGCGTGGGAGCGCCTGATTTTGGACGAGGTCAGCAAGGATACTGTCAGAGTTTTCAGACAATTGGCCAAATGAACTGACTCTGTCAAATTTATTCAGGCCGTAGCAATCGTCAATCGCCAGGAGGTAGCTCGAGGCTATTTTCCTGCTGGGGCATATGTCAGTTCAAATGCCATTGATCCTGACTACTTTAGCGAAGCGGCCGAAAGGCATTGGGAGAAACAAGTCACGGATGGTATGCCCTTCCTGCATAACCTGGTTAAACGCAAGCTCGCCCACGCGTATGGCCTCCAACTGCCCGATTCTGAGGAAGGCGAAGAAGTCGAAGACGACACAGAGGCTGCCGCTGCAGTAGCCATCGCTCCTGTCACAGGGGTGCAGGCGTCCAACGCGAGCGCCGAAACCTCCACAGACACTCTGATTGACGGACCATTTGACGACGCCACACTCTTGTCGCTTGAAAACCTGGTGTTTGTCAAACCTACGCCGGCGGACAGAGCGGCCCACAAAATATCCACCGTGAGTCAGCTGTTAGTTACACCGAAAACGCGAGATATTCACTCAATTCCGCTCATGAGTTATGTAGCTACCCAAAATGATCTGTGCGATGATTGCCGTCGCGTGCAATTGCAGAGCTAACGCAATACCATTAGCTAACGGGCTAATGGCGTTGGCCAGTGGTGTTTCCTGCCGAGTCAACAAATGGCTTCACGCGTTCGGCCTGACGACTTCGCGAACGAGCATCCTCCAAGCTTTAGATCGCCTCCGCGTACTTCAAGAGCAACGGTTAATAGATGTATTCAAAGCCAACCATAAACTGTTACCACTCTTATGCTACGATAACATCGACATCAACATCAAGGTACACCACACCCGCGTGAACGCGTCCTCACGCATGTTTCATGGTACATGGGGGTTCTACATCGTATTTCAAGCGGCGCTCCAGGCGAAATGCGCCGAAGATGCGGTCAACTTGCAGACCTTCTTGACGTCGATGGCTTCGGCATCTCGCAAACCGGTTCGTATGAGCCTGTTTTCACCTGGGGTCAAAGAAAGTCAACATTTCGTCGCCTTAGTTAAAGGTCAACTAGGTAAAGCGCTTCGCGAATATGCTCCATTCATTATTGGTGATGGTGTGGCAAAGTTTCCACCCAAACTTCATACACGTGCCCCTGCAGTCGAACCAATAGCCATGCATCAGGCAAATATACATTTCCTGCGCATGATGGACGCACCCGATAATTCGGCCGAAGGGGTTTCTCGTGTGATTGACTAGATTATTGCGCAAATTGGGGTAGATTCGAAAAAGTACGCGGAAAACCTTTTGGTAGCAGGAGGCGATGTGGGTTCGAATCAGTTGCTCGAAAGCCTGCAAGTCAAACGCTTTCCGCCTGCGAATTCATTTGAGGGGTTCGAGTGGGTTCTATCCCTGTTTGGCGGTGCACACACAACATGGAATTTTGCAAAAGCTATCTGGTCTTTGCATTGGGGGCGGAGTTGTGACGGAGAGGACACAGGCGTTTGGAGATCTTTGTTTGCTCTTGGGGGTGATCATAAGAAACCAGTGGCCTCCCAGGACTTCAATACGGTCATGAGGTCGATACAGTTGGTCCACAAGGCCAACCTGGTTTTTATACTCAAGTTAGTACCTTCGTGTCTCAATAAAACATGATGACTGTCCTACCTACCTAATTACCTGACTGCCCAAATGGAACGGTGATGAATGTAGAACCGTGTATAAGTTGCTCGATCACCTTGATTTGACAAAGGAAGAAGATTTTGAAACATTCTTAGAAGAGGTATGGTGTCAGTACTTTGACACCAAAGCCATTGATTCAGCATTGGCCAAAGAAGAACATACTCGTTATAATCTGCTCATGCGGCTCCATGACTTTGCTACCGTCGTGGAGGCCCATGAAGCGACTCGAGCGGGAGATATCGGGCGTCTGATGAACATGTGGAAACATTGGGCCATCATGGCTCAAGGTATTCCGGGACTTTCACATTACGCCAGGCACATCCCCCGGATTGTGCTGCTTTTAGAAGAGGATTTACCAGCCAGTCTGGCTCACGCTATCAAACATTCCATCCTCATCCCTTCGAACGAGCGTGAGGAACACTGGTTACCCCTTGATGAGTACCAGGAAGTCCACATTTGTTGGCTCAAAGACGTTTACGATAATACGGTCAGTTCCAATCGTTATTTTCTCTGGTCACGTTTGGAACACGCCTCTAACGAAACAAACCTGCGGACCGTCGAATGCAAATCACTTAGGGGCATGGCACAGATATTGAGCGGCTCACTTGTCGGTGTTCAAATAACATTCGAATGGTATGTATTCATTTCCAATGGGCTATGTATGTATAACAATTGACTGAAATGGCCTCCGAGGGCATTCAAACAGTTACGCCGCCTGATGCAGCTGATCAAATCAGCGGCCGGCCATAAGATCATCTACCAGTCCAACCTTCACACTATCAACAAAGTCACCATGGAAGCGTTCTTGAGGTACGCTGAAGGGAATTTGGCCAAGTGTTCCGCTGCTAGACCGCCGGCCCCAGTCACCAATGTTTGGCGAGTGGGAAACCGCAATATGATTCGCCTGATCAGATCTGACTCAAACGCGGGTCGATCTTCGAGGTTTCGCTGGGGCCAGGCCAATGTGCTTGCGAGTTGGGAAGATGAGGAGGCTCCGGAAGAGGAGTGATGGCAATGCCCTAATCATGTACACGAGGATATATGGGGGTCAGACGAGTTGATGAATATGGCTACAATATCACGCACATTCAAAGATGTTCGCCTTTTGGGGTTCATAACCCCAGGCCACTCCTCAGCTACCCTCTTAGGGAGGGCTGATGGTGCATGAGAGAATATGTGACCATGAGTGACAATATTATTAGCGGATTCCCCTTGCTGACTTATATGGTTGGTGACGTTTCCATTTCTGTTGACGATTTTGTTTGGGGCTGCCTTCTTACGAGCGGCCGCGTTGAGCTTCTCTTGAGTCCGTCTGTCGTGGTCCGCCGCTTTTTGAATGGCCAGCTGCTGTTTTGCGTTTTCGCGGTCTAGTTGATGTTGCATCTTCTGGGCTTCATGACGCTGTTTGGCTAGAAGGGCACCTTCCACAGATATCGCCTTTTTTGCAGACGCCGCTCGAATCGCCGTGCGCCTGCGAGTAGACGCCTCCACGAGCACTGCATCCGTATCTAAGCGAGCTTTCCAATCTTGAAAGGCTCCAAACAGCGTTTCGAATTGGCCTTCAATGGTCTCGCTGGCCAGTACCACCGCCAGGTCGCCAGGCTCAGAGAAAATGTCGATGTTTTTGGCGAGATCCCAAGCCAGGTCTCGCCCAAGATAGTCTTCAGGACCTAGGTTAGAAGGTGATGTCATGACCTTGTTGAATAATTTGTCAAAGGCCACCACTAGGGCGTCAACCAACGCCATGAGTTCTACCGACCTCATGATCGAATCGTCTTTGCTGCACTGGAGCGCGGAAGGTCGAGGTTCAGGGCGAGGCAGGACAACGGCTTCCGGTGGGGCGGAGAGCAGAGCCTCCAGGCCGACTTTGTCCATCGCGATAGAGTCGTCGAAGTTCTCGGTAGTGAGTGCCGCCTGGGCCATCCAAAGAGATTCAGCGTCCTCCGGACGACAGTTCGAGCAATCACACGGGGCCATCTTAGCTTCCCTTTGCCGTTCTGTTTCCTTGATCACAGTGACCATCGAAGCGTCTAAGGGTATGTACCCATGCCTTAGGAAGCGGAGTTGTGTCAGAGTGATGTCAGTGAATCAAAGAAATGACAATCAAGAGCCTGCGTACTCAAGGTCTACTGCCAGGGCGACCCTCAGGCACACGGGGGTAATGGCAAGGGCGTCCATCCGTTCATCATCAGACATGAGAGTAGGGGTCTTAAAGTCGCGTATGTGATTTTTACCGTGGGTGCGTGTATGTTCTACCAGTAAGATGCCCAAACCTCGGCGCCCGTCGCGACCACAGCGCCCAGTCATCTGAGTAAGGTTGCAAGGGTCTTGCCGACCCAAAATGATAACCCGCCGAACTCGTTTCCAATTTTGGCCTAGGCCGAGAGCCAGTGTACAACATAGAACAGCGAGGGTACCGGCGACATAAGCAGCAACCGCATTGGCTTTACTTTCAGGGCCAGTTGTGGCGTGGTAGCGTTGAGCAAAGGTAGAGTTGGGGTTCGCTGTTTCGTTGGGCGTCCCGCGGGAGTTGTTGATGAGCTGCAAATAATCCAAAGTCCCGCTTTGCGATCCAGAATAGATGAGGGTAGGAGGTAGAATCGTGGTGGGAACCACTGTGTGATGAGCAAAGATACAATTCAGAGAGGCTTTGATAGGCCTCTTGAAGGCCCGCCGGATCAGTCGTATTTCAGGCCGTGTGAGCTCTCCGCGACTGAAAGCTACATCGCGACGGTCGATCTTGAGGTTGTCGAGAATTGCGTTCACTGCCTGAGGAGGGCAGGTTGCCGACATCAGAAGTCGAGGGACTTTGTCGGATGAGAGGAATCGTCGGAATAGGTTTCCATAGGATGGACGGAAAACCCCTCCATCCTGAACTCGAACATGACTGGTAAGGGTTTTTGCCTTCCCGCTCTCAACGAGGCCCCATGTATACACCATGTGGGCCTCGTCAACCACATTGAGGACCAGCCGTGCCTGGAATCGTGTGTCCCCCCACATGCGTTCAAAGATCGTGCTGGTCAACGCCACCTCGGGACTCTAGTGTGCAAGCAAAGTCAACATGACATCAGTCTGCTGCTCTGATGTTATCGTAGCTATTTCTTCATACCACGTAAACGAAGTTGAAGTGTCCTTCGATGATTGAATCGCACATCCCCTGTGTGCAGTTGGGGCCCGTAAGATTTACGGCGTGGAGGCCAACCACATGTTTCTCGGCAACCTGTGAGAGCAAATTGCATTTGATCAGCCGTGGGGCGGGAGGCCACACAAACATTTAGTCTGAATATCACTCACCTGGTCATCGCCAAGTGCATCCAAAGGGTTGATGCTTAAAATAATAGGCGCATATATTTCGTCGTGCGCAAGATAAAACAACTCGGGGACTCTGCTTTTTCCAAAACCCGTTCCGGCTAGTAAGAACGTGGTCCGTCGTCTGAGGAGGTTTACTACTACTTCGACCTGCTGTGGTCGAGCCATATAACCGTATTTGGCTAGGAACATGTCACTGAGTGCTTGGGTAAGGTCTTCATCGTTCAAATTATTCAACTCCGGTCGAATCTTCGGCTGAGTGGTTGTCCGTATGCGGCGATTTTCCTCGTAGTGAAGTCCTAACAGAGCTGCGCCGTTGGCAGATTGGCTCCTTCGTAGCATGGGGCGGTACGTGATTGAGGTGAGTGGTGCAATGGGAGGTATGTATCGTGGACTTGGCGAAATCGTGAGTAGGTGTGTGGTGAAGGCAGTAGCTGCAAACTGTAGTTTGCCTGAAACGGATTGGAGGTTTAGTACAATAACTTTGGCTGTTTGGGTCCAAATTTGGGTTTTGGGCGCCGCAGTCTCGAAGAATGTCATGTACGGCCCCGGTGATTGCCCCAAGAGGTTATTTCCACATTGAAAAAGATCAAGATGAGATAGATCAATTTTGAGGGCGGGCCGTTGGAGACAACTCGCCTGCCCTTCTTTTTCATTATGATCACATGCCAGTTCGATCAGGCCCCCCCCCCCCAAATGAGGAAATAAGTTTTTCTGTCGGTGTACCGACAGATCTCACGCGAGATTTGGGAGATGGCGCGTAAGTCCCTCGCGGGAGATGGTGGTTAGGTCCGCGTAAGGAAATAGTTACTCTTGCGATCACCATCTTTTTTTTTTTTCCCCAAGCTTTTTTTTAAGTGCGTAGGGCTTAATTGCATAATACACTAT